TTCCCGCTAAGTCCAGCTTATGTTGGCCAACTACTCCTGGTGTGGCCTGGCCTGGAGTGTGCTCCTTATGGCAGATGTCACTCCACTGAAGAAAGCTGACTTCCCTTCTCCCAGCATCGATCAATGCCAGTAGCTCCTCAGCTTGGGGTGGAACTTCATGCCTGCCTCTCCTTCTCCAGCCTGGGATTCTGTCTGGTTTAAGCTTTCACAGCCACTGTGTGGTCGTATGCACATTTGTCCTTTGTTCTGGAAAACACTGTTTACTTGAAGTCATTCACCTCTGGCTCTGTTGTATAGATCCCTGAACCTTAGGGGAAGGGTATAAGGTAGATATCCCATTTAGGACCTGGCAACCTGAAGTCTCTTATAATTTTCTTGAGCAGTTGTGTGTCTCTGTGTTAATCCTCATATACTATATGAGGGTTGAGTGATGTGTGACTCTATGGGTATAGTTAATAAGCCATTAGGAGTTATTTTATTAACTATGTCCATTTAGCAGAGTAATGATAGTGGCTTTCTCCCTCTGGCCCATGACCTATCTATCCACAGATTTTGGCCTCATTGACAGTGTCGGGGATGGATTCCATCTTGTGGAGTTGGCCTTCAATCCAATAAAAAAAGGTGATTGGTTATTCCTATAACATCTGTTGCTACTATTCATCAGTGGGCTTACATTTCCAGGGTTATCATTATTGTAGCTTTCTTTATTCTTCCAGTTGGTACTTTTGGCCCTCAGGGTCCCCTAACAGTTATTAAAGATCTTGAAGACCATGTCTAATAAAGTAAAAAAGGCAGTCTGGGGCCCCTGGTCTAGTGTTTGAAGCTTTTTGTGTGATATCTGGAGAGGCTAAGCATGTAAACTGTATAGTCAGAATGACTTGGCCCTCTGACTTCTCAAGGTTTAGGTTAACTTACTCGTGTGTGATTTCAGCCTACATTGAAAGTAGACAGATGTGTGGAAGCTCCCTGCATTATTTCCTGTAATTATTATGGTTGGTACATTTTGTAATGGCCTTTTTCATTGCCTCTAGTAGACAGGCACTCGATATGGCCAAAATGAATCATTCCTCCTTCATTCCCTACATGGGTGGTCTGATGTGACCAATGGGATTCCATAGGCGGCACAGCAGCGGAGTCTGGGTTGCTCAGGGAGCTGACCTTGAAGGGCTACTCATAAACTGAAAATGGCCATGAGTCAGCTGTGAGGGAGGACTCACCATCCCAGGGAAAGCCGATTCTCTCTGGCCAGGACGTCGGGCAGGAGGAAAACAGCAGGGGCAAACGCTGCCCACACTCCACTCCCTCTACTCTGAGAAACAGAACGGTACCTTCTGTTCACAGCCCAGATAACGGGACCTGGAAGCCGCTTAGTGCCTGCTTGCCTCACTCTCGCTGTTGCCATGATATTCTTTCTCCAATATTAGAACCCACTTCTTTGGGATTTCAGTGTAGCCTAAAGTACGGCAGCTGTCCAGGAATCCTCCAGGCTTTCAGGACCAGACTGGGACAGCTGAGACATCCAGGCTCATGAGCTGAGCAACTACCTGATTCTCAGCCTCTCCGGAGTTAAGACGGCCATTGTTAGACTACATGGATGGTGTCCTGAAGTCAATATATCATCTAAACACACACACACACACACACACACACACACACCAATTAATTCTCCTCCCTTAGAGAACGCTAAGTCAGATCCCAAGAAATCAAAATTTACCCAGGGTCTCATGCTGGGAGGAGAAAAAGGTTGAAGCCTGGTGCCAACCAGAAGACGAACTCATTCCCAGAAAGATTTCACACAGCTCTGATGACTTATCAGGCCACCTTGCTGAAGAGACAGGAGCTGGTGCAGTAATAACTGGCAGACCCGCACTTAGATCAGGCCTGAATAGTTACACATTGTTCTCTATTTAAACTGAATTTCATACCAGGACCCTGAAAAATGGCCTGGGGCCTGGAGCTCGGGGCTGGGGTGGGGGACCCACCAGACCTATTCATCTGTTCCCCTCCCTAAGTATCTATATTGGCTGAATCTCTTTTCCTGGCTTTTCTCCATCTCCTGTCTGTCTAATTGAAGAACCTAGGTTGTTAGGGCTGCAGAGCTCAGGTTCCCACTCTAGCGATTCAGGTAGCACACTAGCCCCTTACCCTTGTGGATTACACTGACTGGTCCCCTTCTCCGCTACCTTAAGGTATCACCAAAATCTAGGCTTAGCCGCTGTAAAAGGATCCACTCCTTAGGGGTGGGCTTTTTCCCTTTTGGAGAATTCACAAGATGTCTTTATCTGCAGTGAATATTACTTTTTTAAGATGTATTTATTTGTATTTTATGTGTGAGTGTTTTGCCTGCATGCATGCTTATGCACCACATGTCTGCACTGCCCACAGAGACCCTAAGAGGACTCAGATCCCCTAGAACTGGAGTTATAGACAGTTGTGAGCCATCTAGTAGGTGCTGGGAATTGAACCTGGGTGCTCTGCAGGAACAGCCCGTGCCCTTCACTGGTGAGACTGCGTAATATCTGTTACCTTTTCTGCTCGTCATTCTGCTTTTCTCCTCTTTCTGCCTCTGCCCTCCTGGTTTTGACTGAGCATTTTTTTGAGATGCTCTTTTGTCTTGGCATACCAGTCAGCTCACCTTTTCCATGTCCAGTTACTGCCCTGGGTTCGAAACACAAGCTCACCGCTGACCCAGTCTCATTCCTGAATCAAACCACCTGCTCTGCATGTGACTCCAGGGCCTGGCCTTTGTCCTCAATGCAGAAGACTGGGAGGATACGCTAGCAGAAAGGAAGGTTGGGTTTCTAAAAGGCACTTAAGACAGAATTTAAGCATAAGGGTTAAGAGGAAGAGAGGTGTTCTGAAAGTAAGACACGTCCACAAGCATGGGTGCAGACTTCTCTGAGGGAATCACTCTCCATTGACTTTACATTAGTCTTATTACCATTTTAGCAGGGGTTTTGTCTTCATTTTTTCTGAGACACAAGGTCTCTCATTGTAGTCCTGGCTAACCTAGAACTCACAGACAAAGCTGACCTCAAACTCACAGAGATCCACCTGCCTCTGCCTCAAAGTGCTGGGTTTTGAAGCTGTTATTTTCTAAGAGTTGCTAAGGAACTTGAGTAAGTAGTCCTTGGGGGGACCTGACAGGATTACACTTAATAAAGTTAAAGTATGGATCACAGGGATGCAGGAAGATAGAATGTCTTCTCTGTAAATGAAAACAGCCTTATTTGAGATTCTCAGAAAATATCTAGGACAATGGTTCTCAACCTTCATGATGCTGGGACCCTTTAATACATTTCCTCGTATTGTGGTGGCCCCAACCATAAAATTATCTTGTTGTGACTTCATCACTGTAATTTTGCTACTGTTATGAATTGTAAATGTAAATATCTGATATACAGAATATCTGATATACAACCCCTGTGAAAGGGTCATTGAACCCCACTGATCTAAGAGAAGAATGAGGCCCTACTCAAGATCAACCATTCAGGTTTTAAGTCTGATTTATTGCCATCAATAGCTAAATGTGAAAGGAATATCATCTCTACGTTGGTGGCATTCACAGTAAATGCTGAAGTTCTTGCTTCTCCACTGGCAAGCTCTGGAGTATGGGTGTTTTTCTCTCCCCATAGTTTCCTGTCTATCCTGCTGCAGTTCCCCTAAAACTTACAGTATAACATAACGATTCCACTCCCCGGTACATATTCAAATGGAGTTGGACAGGTGTGTATACAGAGAACCTGTATATGAATGGTCACACCAGTGCTATTTACACTAGCTGAGAGAGAAGCAGTCAAGATGTATCATTCAGCCAGGAAAGGGAGGAGGGTCCAGATGGGTGTGGCTCTGAGGATGAACATCAACTATCAAGCTGAAGAAGCAGATGCAAAGGGCCAGATGTTGTCCTTCAATACCCTGGAGGTAAGTCTACAGACATAGAAAACAGGTTAGTGTTTGCTGGGGGCTGGAGGAAGAGACTTGAGTGCCACCTTGATAAACGAGGGTTCCTTTGGGGCTTGATGAAACACTTCACAAGTAGGCAAGAGTTATGACTGCATACTGGCACTGAATGCCTCTGAGGTTACAAATGATGCATTTTATGTGGTATAGATTTACTTCAAAATATCTTATCTTGTAGTGTCCTGTTCTGTGATGTGGCTATACTATTGTTATAATATTTTCTATTGTCTCCTTGAGGTTGTAAGCTTTTATACTTATAATCTCACTATTTATTATGGGTTTCTTTATCAGCTTTACAGAGCGAGTTGATGATCCTCGGTTGTCTTCTCATCCACAAGACAGCAAATTAAATAAGCAAAAGGAGGTACTGGCTGCCCAGCAGATGCTACAGTGTTCGCTGAGGACCTTGTGTTAAGGACATAGTCCCTGGTGCATCACTAGTGGAAGATTATGTGGCTTTAAGAGGTGGGGCCTAGCGGGAGGATGTCCAGCCTTTGGAAGCCTGGCCATGAATGGGATAGTGAGAGCCCAGCCTCTTTCTTTTCTTTTGACTCCAGGTCATGAAGGGAGCCTCTGCTCCATCACAGGCTCCCTGAGACAACACAGGTAGCTGACCACAGAATAAAGCTTCCGAAACAAATGAAATGTTTTCTCTACATCTACTGATCTCACCGGGTCTATGGTATAATCATGGTAACTAACACTGTGGGGCTCTGCACGCCTCTATGGGTAACTTGGGAGCTTTGTGCTTGGGGAATGCCTGGTATTTGTTTGTTGTTTTAGTTTTTAAATACTAATACTTTTTAAATCTAGATACTTTTTAAAAAAATTATCTTAGATTTGCCCAAATTTTCTAGATTTGGCTATAAAAATGTCTTTCCTGAAAAGTGAAGCCAAACCAAAACATTGTGGGAGTCAAGGAACAACAACAACAAAGTCCTTATCTTATCTAATTAGTATGAAAATTTGTTTAAAGCTGAAACCTAACATTACCGTTTATAATAACATCACGTCCCCAAATATTCTCAGCACGCATCTTAAATTGTAGGTATTTATTTTGTAAGTGCTTGTGTGGCACAATACCCAGACAGAGGCAGAACAGGTGCCCCATATTCACTCACTGTGAGGCTCCAGCAGCAGAGGATGCGTGGAAGAGTAAAGTACACTTACAGTAGGGAAAAATCAAACTGTCGTATTCGGAAACCATGATAAAGAGAAAAGCATTCTTAGAAGTGAGCTTCTGGGGCGTGGGTGTGCTCAGTGGTAGAGTTCTTGCTTAGCACAAGTTGAGGCCCGTGGACTCTATCCCCAGCACGCCCCCAAATCTGGGCAACCATTCATTCATTTGTTCATCTCCCCCTCCACACACATCTTAGTGCTGAGCATCAAACAAGGGCCTTACACACAGTAGGCAAGCACACTGCATCTTTCTTTACCTGCACTACAGTGGGGCGGTATCTCAGTGTAACCACGGACACTTACTGGCAGCCTTCCTACCCACAGTTAAGAGAAACGTCTGTTCCATTAACAAGCTCCTGTCCACGTTCAGGACATGGCACACAATTATCACCAGTCCACAGACTGGTGATAATCCTATCTTAGCCACGATCATTGAGAACTCGAACTACAATTCCCGCTATGAGGACAGCAATAGAAACAGCCAGAGCCATTCCGCGATAAAGGATCAGCTGTTTCCCCGTCAGGACCTCCCCGATGGTGTGCACTGCATGCTGGCTGCTCTCTTCTATTACCAGCGGGCCAGTCTGGCTCTCCGGTCTGATGACATCAGGCAGAATCACTCCATCAGTAACTTCTCTTCCCAAGATGGGCGGATCTGTTTGAAGAGATCAGTGGGACATCCACTTTGTCACTATGGCATTAAGAAATGACCCTCGATTGTCAGCTAGTGCATGTGAAACATTTAACAGGAGAGTTCAGAGTTGGTCTGGCAAGTTATGGAGGAGACAAATGTTACTGTCATGAGAGCAGGCCATAGGCTCGACCTCTCTGGACAATTGAGCGTCGACTATGCAGAAACAGAACTGTAAAGAGTAGTCCATTACCTGTTGGGGTGGGTGTCGGCTCCTTGGTGCTTTTTAGCCCAGCTCGAACTTGTGCCTAAAAACAAGGCTACATGAGTGAATGAAGTAGAAATCAAGTCCAGCTGTAGCTTTTTGTTAAAACTTCAACTAAAGATAATGGTGAAAGGCTATAATACTGGAAACATGAAAAATGTCACATGACATACTAAGAGATGATAACACCAGAAAATGTCTAATAAAAAAGCTGAGGGCTTAACATGTTTGCACTTATGCCTTTAGTGTCTCCAGATATGAATAGAAGGACCAAATCTAAAGGTAAATGACATCACCATCTAGAAGCTAGCTTACTGACCAAGTCGATATCAATTTTTCCCCAAGGTTTAATTACGGATATGGGTGTTTTGCCCATGTGTGTCTGTGGGCCATGCCACGCAGTACCCATGGAGGCCAGAAGAGGGCATGGGATCCCCTGGACCTGGAGTTACAGGCAGTGGTGAGCTACCAGTTTTGTGCCAGCAACTAAAGAGGGATTCCCTGGAAGAGCAGTCAGTTCTCTTAACTACCGAGTCATCTCTCCAGCCCCAAGTAAATACTCTGTATATTCTATTCCCTCAACAATCAACATGAACTTAAACACACAATGTATCACCATCAGGCAAAGCCAAAGGGGTCAGAAGAGTAAATGGTGACGGCCAGAATTCCTGAGCTCCCCCTCCTGTCTCCTTATTAAGACTCCTTCCTCTTGGTCACCCACTTGTCTTAAGCTAGGCCTCACCCCTGTGAGCAGACACACTCATATGGGTCACCACCCCTGCCCACAACGTCCCACAAACCACAAATATTTAACACATTACTTCTTTGTAAGAAAAGACCAAAACAAACAAACAAACAAAACAAAACCAAAAAAAATCCCAAGTTTTTTAATTGAAGCATTAAAAAGAACTAATCGACATAAACAGGAAACTATTTTTCTAACACTATTTTACAGAAAAACAAAAATATATTGCAGCCACTTTCTGTTTTCTTCTCTGGGGCTGAGTCCTATGGTCAGGAGACACCAATCAACTCTAACTACGAGGACCGTCTTTCTGTCTCCTTCATGTCTCCCTTCTGCCTCCCCACACACTCAGTATGGTTCATGATACTTTGTCTGTCTTGAAACTGGTGGGATTTTATTCATCATTTCACACTGAAAGATGCCTTGTCAACCATGGGATCAAGTGCCTTATCAAGTGTGGGATCAAGAGCTGATGCATTTTAAAATGACATGGAGACTGTTACCTGCTCTGCGACTCTATGCCAGTTGATCCTCATGATGTAGATTAAATAGGAGAGGGCTTGGGAGAAAACACAGGCTACCAGTCCAGACCAGAGGCCTGTGGACACAAAATGAGCATCAAGGACATCAATTCTGTTCCCATGACAATTAAAATTCTTCCTTGATAACTCATAGTCAGTGGAGCAAAATTTAAGTTAAATTAATGTCTCAGAAACTGGATAAACACGGAACAGAGAAGACAGAACCCTGTCTCCGAGCTATTTGAGACACTGAAGGACAGACGATGAACAAAGGAACAAAGTGGAAATGGAAGAGTGGTGGGTGTGTGGCGGGAACTCTCTGGTCATTAATGATGACCTGCAGAGCAGTCTGAATGAGTGGCCTTCCGAGGTGGGGACCTGAACCAGCCTAGGGAAGGTCCAGGCCAATGGTGCGGACTGAGGCGGGAGAAGCATGCTACAGGAAGATGCCAGCTTGGGAGCCTCTTGAATGGAGAGGCCAGGTAGGAAGTGTCAAGGTAAGAGAAGGCCATGGAGGACATGTAAGCCACAGAAAAATCCAGGGATTACTATGTATTCATGGTAATGGAGACCCACTAAAGGGTTTCAGACTGGTGTATGCACGGATGGCTGTGAGACCTGGTAGCTTTCAAAAGCTTGTTTTGAAGCAGGGCGTAGTGGCATTCAAGGGGCTGAAGCAGAGAGATAAAGGTTCAAGGCTATTCCAGGATTCATAGTGAGTTCCAAGCCAATCTGGGATACACAGTGAAAGCATCAAGGAGGAGGAGGAGGAAGAGGGAAAGAGGAGAGAAACGGGGACTGAGATAAAGGGAGTGAGGAAAGAAGTAGTTTGCTTGGAAGACATTCCTCTACTGTTACATGAAAAATACCAAGAATTGGGAATGCACATATATACACCCTGGTACACATACATTAAACAAATAAATCTTAATGAATATTGAGACTCCAAGAGAGCTCCATAAGAGAATGTGTATGGTAAGAAACTACTCCTTAAAGATTTTCATTTTATGTGTATCAGTGTTTTGCCTGCATATAATTGCACCATGTGTGTGCAGTGCCCAGGGAAGACAGAAGAAGGTGCTAGAACCCTCTAGAACTGGAGTCATAGCTGGTTGTAAGCTGCCATATGGATGCCGGGAGCCAGACTAGGGTCCTCTGTAAGAATGACAACTGCTCTTAAACGCTGAGCCGTCTCTCCAGCCCGAGAAGAAACTATTTTTAATCACTTGTAAGCCATCGCTTCTGTGTCAACAGCCACTGCAGAGCAAGCTGTGCAGAGTTGGAATGCACTGTGAGCTGGGACTTAGTCTCCAGATTCGGTTGTCAGCCACTTGCTGACACGGATTCTCACTTTTACTCCTGCAAGGACACTAGGTGGAGGCTGGGGCCATCCTTACAGTTGAGGTGTAGGTGGGGTGGCAGTGTATATCCTTAGATGTCATGATTCCATTCCTAGGAACTGGTCCTGAAGCAAGGTGCCTGACCGTCTTAGTGGTTTGTATGTACATGCTGGAGGCTCCTCACCCCGTGTTTTATAAACAGGAGCTATTCCTCCCACAGAAGGAGTGAAGATGCAGCACATGGTGCATCTCCTCTGCCGCCTGTAATTTCGAGGTTTGCAAAGAAACGGCAGAAAATAAAATTTGTTACATAATAAAAATGTGCTGGTTGTACAGAGACCAAAGAGAGTGACTTCCACACATACTGGGGCAGTCATGCAGTTCTCTAATTAGACTTTAAAAAACAGTTCTGAGGATGTAACCGAGGGCATCATGCACGTAGGCATCCCCAGTTCCAACTGCACTATTTTTATTATGAGGTAAAATTCATTGTTACTAAAAGAAATGTATAGAAGATAAAAACAGAAATATATACACAAAACACATATACAGCTTTTAAACTACTTCACACAATTCTATAGGTTTTGAACTGCAATAAAGCCTTCCTGATAATTATATAATTTATTCATGTTGACACAATACAAAGTCCAAACAGAAACTGTGTGTGTAACCATATATGGGTGCACAAGGCCTGTGTGAGAGTGTGGGCACAGGTGCCATGATGTCAGAGGACAACTTTCAGGACTTAATTCTCAGTGTACCCCAGAGCCTGAACAAGGTCATGGGCTCATGGCAAGCGCTCCTACCCACTAAGTAACCTCACCAGTCTTACATAGACACTTCTCAGACGTGATTTAAATCTACATGCCACACATGTACATTGCAGCCCCAAATCCATCATGCCCTTTAGTGGAGAAACACTAGGAGCCTCATGAAAACCAGTAATTCCACTGTTACCGCCAGGGCTCATTCCTGCTGCAGTGGGCATCATACAGGAATGCCTCCCTTTCCACAGAACAGTTTTCCAGCCAGCCGCTTTACACCTCAAGCCATTGATTTTACTACAACAGTGAGATCTGGGGAGAATCACTAAGGAACCAAACACATACCTATTATCCCAAGTTTAGCAGCGAACATCAGAGACACTCCGATAGGAAAACCAAACCCGTAGTAACCAATGGCGTTCAGGATAGCACCTATCTTTTGTTTTCCTGTACCTCTCAGGACCCCGCCACAGGTGCCCTGCAGGGAAGAAACCAACAGTTGTCCTGCCGTCTGGCCTGGCTCGTCACATCGAGTTCAGAGTACAGTGCTGCTGCCCCCCAGACCGCACTGCCCAAAGCAGACATCGCAGATGAAGGAAGCTGTCCTGTTTCAAAAGCTGCTATGGACGGAGCACGGCAGCTTTCATTACAGAGCAGTCAGGCCATGTGCTGGGCGCTGTCAACCTGACACAAACTAGAGTCACCCAGGGAGAGAGAACATAGGAAGAGGAATCGCCTCCGTCACATTGGCCTGTGGGCATATATGTGGGCATGTTCTTGATTAATGATGATGTGGGAGGGACCAGCCCACTGTGGGCGGTGGCAACCCTAGGCAGGTGGTGAATGGTTGTATACAAAAGGAGGGCCAGGGAGAGCAAGGCAGTAAGCAATGTTCCTCCATGGTCTCCGCTTGAGTTCCTCCCTGGTTGTCCTTAATGCATTCTAACAAGTCAAATAAACCCTTTCCTCCCTAAGTAGCTTTTGGTCATGGATTCTGTCATAGGGACAGAGAGGCAAGCAGGACAGGTGGAATTATTTAAATCTCTGGCTATCTCAACTACTTAAAAGTTATTTTAGAAAGCCACATATTGTCTAAAAATATACAGCATCTCAGTAGGAATGTGTGAAAGTAGCTGAAGACTACCAACACAGTGTGGGTGTCTCCTGCCGCTGTCCTTACCACTGCTGTGCTCAACCATGGGCACCCATCTCTGGAGCGACGTGGAGGAAGTGGAGAGAACCCATAGGAAGAAATGCTGAGCCACAGTGACCTGTTTAAGTCATTCCACAAAGAATATTAAAGCCTCCTGGGTTGGTTCTGGAATGTAGCCACAGGGTCTTTAAACACCCACAGTTCCACAGGAGACGAGCCCAGGGAGAGACCTTCTAGTGGTCAGAGTTAGCTCATCATTACCCAGCATGCCTGGGTGTATCCAGCAGTCACCCGGCCATTTGGCCAGCACATCACTCTAGACATACAGTTACATGAGAGCCAGGCAAGGACCCCTGACAGACAGGCAAACAGTAAGTCACAGACATGCAAAGTTCAGATCAATAAGCTGGGAACATTGCCCACACATACACAGTGACGTCGCTGCATACTTACTGCGAGTGCATCAAACAGATGAAAGGGAGCAAAAATGGGCATTACTTGGCTCACGAGGGAAATAATGTCCCTGTTACGGGAGGAGGACAATAGTCAGTGACACTGTGACAAGTCTGGGTCAGTGAGATGGCTCTGCGAATAAAGGTGCTTTTGGCTAAGCCTGGTGACTTGAGTTCCATCCCCAGGATTCACACGGTAAAAGGAGAATGGACTTCCATAAGTTGCCCGATGGTCTCCCCACATGAACTATAGCACACACATTCAGGGTCGCTTGAGCATGTGTGTGTACACACACTAACTTTTTCAGTGTAAACATTACATTTTTTAAGTTAAGTACATGATAAAACCATTCAAATTTTATGAATATGTAAAGTTTCTGATACCATGGATGTTTTTCTCCTTTTAAAAATTATTTATTTTGAGATAGTCTCACTAAGTTGCGCAAGCTGGCCTTGAACTTGTGATCTTCCTGAATAAGTGCAATTACAGGTCTGTCCCACCAGGTCAGTCTGATAATGGTCTATTTTATTCAATAGATGATTTTTTTTGTTTTGGTTTTTTGAGACAGGGTTTCTCTGTGTAGCTTTGTAGGCCAGTCTGGCCTCGAACTCACAGAGATCACCTGCCTCTACCTCCCGAGTGCCAGGATTAAAGGCGTGTGCCACCACCGCCTGACTTTCAATAGATGATTTATTATACTTAAATAATTACAGAATTATTGTTACAGAAAACATGATAAAAGTATAAGATTGAGTCTGTGATTTTTTGGAAACACAGCCTCAAATGACGGGGTGGCCACCACAGAGTGTGCTGCCCCATAAGGTACCCGTCTGGGGATGAGACAAACCCACATGCTTTGTTCTGTTTCTCAGAGCAAAACTCCACTCAGGTCTGAATGGTGTGGGTACTGAAAGAGTGTGGTGGAATTGCACAGGCTTGCATCATTCAAACTTGTTTCTCATCTGTGCCTGCCTCTCCTTCCTGGCTGTGCTACAAGCTTTCCCGTGAAGGGAAGGGCCATGCCCCCCTCATAACCGGAAGATTTGCAGGGAAGAAGGCATAAAAGCAAGGACGGTTTCTGGATAACTACCTACTTGTCATTGGTGAATATGTAGGCAACCACGTCCTTCAAGGCAGCCAGCAGAATTCCCACCAGGAGCGCACAGACACCTGGGAAATATAAAAGGAGTCACAGGAAACAACAGCTCTCCAGAACGTGACAAAACTTCCCATGGGAGATTCGAAGCTGGGCTCAAGGGCACGCACCTGCAGCCCCAGCTATGTGGGAAGTTGACGCGGAAGGATTGCTTAAATTTGTGACCTGGACATTCAAAACCAGCCTGGGCAACATAGTGAAACCTTGTCTCAAAATCAGGGCTACAGTGCAGCTAGTAATTCTTTTTCACTGTCTATGAAAAAGCCAACTAAGATCTGCTGTCTCTGCTTCCTTCTAAGGGCATCTGTTACCCAGAGTTGAACCCCCGGAATTACATTTTGAATGTTTTCATCCCTTGAGTACTCAGGGTGAAATTTCATTTCCAATACAAAAGCAAGGTGACTGAATCATGAGGGTTGTGCTGCCAGGCACGGGATAGGTGTTTTCTAAAAGCACCTGACTGAGGACTCTACCCCTCCCACCCCTTTTCCGCTTCCTCCTCTTCCACCACAGGAGTTCACGCTGCTCCTCCCTTCAAGACAAAGCAGCATGAAGCAGACCTTGGAAGCTGAGGGCTGACTTCATCAGATAACCAGACCTGGTGGTACTTAATCTAGGGCTTGATCATCCCCCAAAGCTGTGAGAAATAAGTTTTGCTCTTAACAAGTTTGCCCGTCTGAGATATTCGGCTGTTGGAGCACAAACAGACTCAGACATTGCACTAAATTCAGCACGGACCACAGATGTTGCTCACCAGCACACAGAAGAACAGTGGTACAGGAACACCGGGCCTGCTCAGCATTCCCTGCCCCCAGAGCATTGCCCACTCGGACACTGGCAGCAACACCAAAGCCAAAGGGCACCTGGGAAATTAGCAATCACAAGTCATAGTTAAAAACAAAGAAGAAGAAACATGAATGTTAACGCAGCAGGATTCAGTCACACCGAGACTTCAGACTTTACAATCTAGGTTCTAGAGGGGTCTTACTACATCGGAGTGTGTGACTAGAAACAGATGGCTTAGAAACCCGATTTCTTCACTAGTAAGCAGTATGGTGCTCCCCTGATAGAGCCTTAATCCAAGCAAGCCAGAGCAGAGCTGGGTTGGCAGGGGTGGGGCTTCCTTTATTGGCAAGCACACAAACACTATCATAACTTAGCTTAAAGTACAATCTACAAGTTCAGATTCGAGTTAATGTACAGTAGATTAATAATTTCTAATAATTGGGCCAACTATGTGAAAAGCACTTAGAGCTTTCACAGCGGGATTTGGCAAAGGTTGATGGAATTGGACTCCATAACTTCACTGAGAGTGGGACAGATGAAATAGATCTGTCAACTTGATGGGGTCTAGAGCCACCTGGGAACCAGACTTTGAGCATGCCTGTGGGGAAGTAAGGAGATCTATCCACTATGGGTGGCACCATTCCTTAGACTGGGCCCCTGAACTGAATAAAAAGGAGACAGTTATGGGCTGAGTGTGGTGGCACATGCCTTTAATGCCGTCACTTGGCAGGCAGAGGCAAGCAGATCCTGTAAGTTGGAGGACAGTCTGGTCTACATAGCATGTTCTAGGCCTGCCCAGGTAACATAAGACTTATCTCAAAAATAAATTAATGAAGGGAGGGAAGGAGGGAAGGGAAGAGACAGGGAGAGAGGAAGGGGGAGAGACGGGGAGGGAGGGAGAGGAGTTGAGCACATGTTCATCACTTTATACTTCTCAACTGTAGTGTCACCAGCGGCCTCAAGCTCCTCCTGCCTTTGTGACATCTCTGCCATGATGAGCTGTAACCTGAAACTGAAGCCAAATGAATTCTTTCTTCCTTAGGTTGCTTTGCTGGGGTGCTCTGTCACAGCAACTAGACGCCCTTCAAAGTACCAAAGTTTGCCTTTAATTCTTGATTACAGAAACCCAAAGCCCCGCTTCTGTTTCCGAATCTGTTTTGTTGTTCTTGTTGATGAAGACAGGACTTCTCTGTGTAGCTCTGGCTGTCCTGGAACTCCCTCTGTAGATCAGGCTGGTCTCCAACTCACAGAGATCCGCCTACCTCTGCCTCCCGAGTGCTGGGATTAAAGGTGTGCACCACCACCAACCTGGCTGTTTCTGTGCCTCTTAAGCAGACCACCAACCAATCACCAGAACCATCTCTGATGCCATCCTGGAGTTCTTTGGGTAGCACCGGCTGCACAGACAGCTTTTGTTTGGGCTGCGTCTGTTTTTATAATTTACACACCAGCATTCCCTCCTCATCTCTGCTGGAAGTACCATCTCCTGACAGCTGTCTAGTTTCTTACCATTTTGAAAACTCACTTGAGTTGATAAAATTATATTATTATGTTTTAAGATGAATAACTTTAAGATGGAGTGGGGGAGATGGCTTAGCAGGTGAGCTCAAATTACCAACACCATGTACAAAGCTAGTCATGACTGTACAAGCCTGTAACACCAGCACTGAAAGGGCAGGGAGAGGGACAGGAGGGTCACTGCAGCTTGCTGGCTACCAGCCCAGTTCCAGATTGAGTGAGAAGCCCTGTCTCAAGATAGAGAGTGATGGAGAAGGACACCTGACATTCTCCCCTGGCCTTCCTGTGTTTGCACCCGCACACATGTACACATAGATCATGAACTGCACACACAGAGGCCTGGCTACACAGGAATATGTAGGACTCAGGTGCCAAAGTCTGCATAACCATTTTTTAGTGGGGACGAATGAGCGACGTGAAAAGGTCACAAGGAAACACATTATTTTGGACCAGTGATACATGCTAATATAGGGCAAAATTTAAAAATAAAAAACAAGCTTCAAGCTAAATGGGCAAAAATATTTATAAATACATATTGGATATTTTAAAAAAAGATGAATGTCCAGCTCGTGTAGTTCCCTCCTTCCCATAAGCACAACTAGTAAAGTGTGTACCTGCGCACCTCACTAACACTGAGCTGGTAGAGTGTACACCCTACAGTTACACTGAGCAAGAGCACCCAGCCTTGGAGCAGGACAGCAGGTACCAGCACCACACTGGGGGGGGGGGAACGTGAGAAACCAGAGACCAGAAGACGCACAGGGGAAGGCTGGGCTGTGCTCCTCCTTCTCAGCAGCACCAGGTGTCTGGGAGCCCCAAGAGGCGGGGAGGCAGGAGACACAGTGTTCACAGGTCTTCCCAGGTAGAGCTGGGCCTCCCTCCCACTGCACGCAGGCTAGCAGAGAAACACAAGTGGGCTCCAGGCCCTCACCATCCCTTCCTTTGTTGCAGTGGATGGGGTGGGCTGCATCTCATTCACAAGGCTGATGAGAATATGGGGCTGACAGCTCCCAACTTTGCACTGGGCTCTCCAGGGGCCATTCCCAGGAAGGTCACTGAAGAAAAATCTCCAAGTAGAATAGCAACACCTTACAAACAATGCTGCTATGAACATAGCTGAGCAAATGACCTGTGGTATGATTGTGCATCCTTTGGGTATATGCTCAAGAGTGGTATTTCTGGGTGGGTTTTCAGGCAAATTGATTCCCAAGTTTCTGAGGAACTGCCATACTGATTTCCAAAGTGGTGGTACAAGTTTGCGCTCCCACTGGCAGTGGTGGAGTGTTCCCCTTACTCCACATCCTTTCCAACATAAGCTGTCATTAGAGTTTTTGATCTTAGCCATTCTGACAGGCATAAGATGGTATCTCAGAGTCATTTTGATTTGCATTTCCCTGATGGCCAAGGATGTTAAGCAAGTTCTTAAATGTCTTTTGACCATTTGAGCTTCTTCTGTTGAGAATTCTCTGTTTAGATCTGTACTCCATTTTTTAATTGAATTATTTGGTATTTTGGTGTGTAGTTACTTGAATTCTTTATATGTTTTGGAGATCAAACCTCTGTCAGATGTGGGGTTGATGAAGATCTTTCCCCAGTCTGTAGGCTGCCATTTTGTCTTATTGACTATGTTCTTTGCCTTACAGAGGCTTTTCAGTTTCAGGAGGTCCCATTTATTGATTGTTGCTCTCAGCATCTGTGCTACTGGTGTTATATTTAGTAAGTGGTCTCCTGTGTCCATGTGTTCAAGGCTACTTTCCACTTTCTCTTCTATCAGGTTCAGTGTATCTGGATTTATGTTAAGGTCTTTGATCCATTTGGACTTGAGTTTTGTGCATGGTGATAGATATGGATCTATTTGTATTCTTCAACATGTCAACATCTAGATATGCCAGCACCATTTGTTGAAGATGCTTTCTTTTATTCATTGTACAATTTTGATTTCTTTGTAAAAAATCAGGTATTCATAGGTGTGTGGATTAGGGTCTTCAATTATGCCAATACCAAGTAGCTTTTACTATTGTAGCTCTATAGTAGAGCGTGAAATCAGCCAGAACCTGGAAACAACCTAGATGCTCCTCAACCAAAGAATGGATAAACAAAATGTGGTACATTTACACAATGGAGTATTATTCAGTGTTAAAAAACAATGACACTTTGAAATTTGCAGGCAAATGGATTGAACTAGAAAACAATCATGACTGAGGTAACCCAGACCCAGAAGATAAACACACTGTGTACTCACTCATAAGTGGATACTAGACTTAAAGCAAAGGATACCAGGCTACAATCCACAACCCAGAGAAGCTAGAACCCACATCCAGTAACTGATGGAAGCAGATGCAGTGACCCACAGTCAAACACTGAGCTGAGCTCCTGGAGTTCAGTTGAAGAGAGGGAGGTGGGATCATATGAATAAGGGGGTCAAGATCATGATGGGGAAAACCACAGACAGATGACCTGAGCTAGTGGGAGCTTACAGACTGTGGACTGATCCTGCATAGGAGGGCTTGGCAGTGGCACCAGGACCTATCCCAGGGGCATGAACCAGCTTTTTGGAGCCCATTCCCTATGGTGGGATACCTTGCTCAGCCTAGATACAGGAAGGGAGGGTCTTGGCCTTGCCTCAACTTGGTATGACAGACTTTGTTGACTTCCCAGGGAGGGCCTTACTCCCTCTGAGGAGTGTATGGGGGGAGAAAGAAAGGGGGGAAGAGAAGGGGAGGAAGGGGGAACTGAGGTTAGTATGTAAAATAAAAAAAATAAATAAAAAGGAAAAAAACAAAAAAATAGGAACGCCTTGGCTGCTATGTATTTCTTTCTCCCTCCCTTCTAACACAAATTCTCCCTATGTAATCTAGGCTGGCCTCGATTCACAATCCTTGTACCTCAACCTCTGCAGTATTGGGATTGTGCATCCACGTAGCCCCGACACCCAGGCTTCTTTGTCTTGCAGATCAATGTTTCCATCCACCCATAGGTATACATGGACCAGTTCATGTATCACTAGAGTTTTGAGGACAGCTGAGCACATACCGTCGAAAAGGGGTGAAGGAAAGAAAAAGCCACTTGATCTCAGCAAAAACAAAGCAGGCGGCTTGGGGAACAGAAAAGAACATTGAAAGGTTTGGTTCTGTGTCCTCAGTGAGAGCTGTAGCATCATGAAGAAGGGGTGGAAAGAGAAGAATGTTCTGAGAAACTAAAAGCAGCAGTCAACAGATGATAAGCAGAGTGACAAAGACATTAGTGGGGGGTTGTACGTGCACACACAGGGGATGGGGGGTTGTATGTGGACACACAGGGGGGTGGGGGTTGTATGTGGACACACAGGGGATGGGGGTTGTATGTGGACACACAGGGGATGGGGGGGGTTGTACGTGGACACACACAGGGGATGGTAGTTGTATGTGCACACACACAGGGGATGGGGGAGGCGTTGTATGTGCACGTGCATGGGTGGAAGCCAGAGGCAAGCCTCAGATGTTGTTCCTCACGCGCTGCCCACCTTGTTTCAGAGTCACTGGGACCTGGGGTCACCATTTAAGCTAGATTGGCTGGCCAGGGGCTCCAGAGAGCTTCCTGCCCTACTTCCTCGCCTCGAGGATTACAAGTGCATGCCACATGCCTGACTTTGTATGTGTTGTGTCCAACCCCCATGGGAGAGACGGGCCATTACTGGGATTGTATTTCTTTGTTTGATTTAAGACTCGCCAACTTGGATCTATATATATTTACAAAAACCATACTATTACCATCATTTTTCAGATAGCCCCTAAAACACAAAAGATAGAACAATTATGGCATACAACATCCAGTTATCAAAGGTGAGGACCTTTTTCTCGATAAGAACAAGGACATGGTTGCAGGGAGAGAAGCATGGACTGTGAACTCTGATATCTGTGCACCTTCAGGCTTAAGTCCCCAGGCGTCTGTTTACTGTTCTGTTTGAGACGGGGCCTCACTGTTCTGTTTGAGACGGGACCTCACTGAGTTGCCGAGGCACCCACCCCACCCCATCTCCCACCATAACACTCTAAACTCTTAGTTCCAGACAAGGTGGCACACATCTGTAATCCCAGCACTGGAGAGGTTGAGACAGGAGGATTCTGAGCTCAGGGCCAACCTTGGATACATAGCAAGAGCTGGTCAAAAGACAAAAACCCCACATGCCAATGTTTAAGGTGCTCACTGCAAAAATCTCCAGATTTACAGGCTCCAGAGCCCTGGTGTTTGTAGGGCCAGTGAAGAAAGAAGCAGGAAACCCAGGATGGCAGGTCCTGTCTGCACACAGCTCCTGCATGCTCCCTTTGAAAGCTCTCAGGAGAGGGAGGCTCTCCTATTCGTCCTTTGGAGCCTGTCTGTTTCCAATATCTCCAGGAGATTGGGGTGTGTGTGTGCTGTGACAGAAACAGGAAGTGGATAATGGTCACATGAGCCAGAGATGGGATGGAAGATGGGAGGGGAGGATGTGATTGCTACAGACTTCATCTACAAGACAAGTTCTGGAAACCGCGGTGTAATGTTGAGTGTCTTCAACATTAGTAAACTATGAACTGTAAGTGGCAAAGAAGGTGAATTTATATTAGATCTGTTTACCACAATGAAAAATCACGTGACCGCACACACCTCTAGTTCCAGCGATTTGGGACACTGAGGCCGGAGGATAACTTGAGTTCAAGAATTCAAGGCCAGCCTGGAACATGGCAAGACCCTGCTTCAAAATAACAAAAGCAACAACAATAAATAATAACAATAATATAAAAAACTGGGAGTCTGTGATATAACAGGTGAGAAAACAGAAATTAGACACGAAGCAGGATTAGCAGGTCCCTACTGTTTGCCATACAAGTCCATCATCCCCTTTAAAAGCAAAAATAGAGCCAGGGGCCTCCTCTCCCCACACAGCCAACACAACAACTGAACTTCAGGCAACTGTCTCCTCAGCTGCCTCTCCTCCTCCTCTTCCTACAGTCAGTCCTTTGATCCAAGCCCCTCATTCCAAAGGTCTCAGTGACCCAGGGCCACACCAGCCTCGCCAGCTCCAAACATCTTTCACTCCTGACTCCCTCTCCACACTTCTCTGGGCCCTCTTCCTTCTGCACGTTCTTCCTCCGGGCTTGTGGCTGAGATTCCTTCTATTCCTACGGTCTGTACACCGAGTTTGCTCTTCAACCGTCTTCTTTTGTATTCCAAGATGACCAACCACTCATCTTTTTTTTTTTCTTTTTTATATTTATTTACTTGTTGAGATGAGGTCTCGTGTAGCCCGAACTGGCCTCAAACTCACTATGGAGCTGAAGATGACCTTGAACTCCTTCTCTTCCTGCGTCTACCTCCTGAGCGCTGAGGTTACAGGAGCGTGCCACCACTCTCAGCTTGTCTGACACTGGCAATTGATTCAGGGTTTCGGTGTCACATGTATTCTCAACCGCTCTACATCCCTGCCCTCACTTTTATGATTTTTTAAAAAGGGGTATGCAAAATGGTCATAAACCCTTTGCCCCGTGGCCTCTGTGATCTTTATGAAAACAAGAGGCAACTAGAGTGTCTTGTGTCAGCATGGAACTGGGACATTTGGAAAGCATCAAAAGGTAACAGGCCCCACCCGGCCCCACCCGGCCCATGCCCAAGCCACGTGCCTGTATCGATCCCGTTTCTCGTTTCGAATTCTGCAGCCACACTCTGCCTCCCCACACAACCCTGTCCATCTACTTTTCTCTTCCTTGGCAGCCTCCTAGTTCCTCACCTGGGTGACTCCAGCGGCCTCCTCCTGGCTCCCCAGGCCCACATTCCTCTGTTCCCTGGGAGAAAACGGGCCTGCCTCTTGCTCTACCCTCCTGCCACCAATTCTCTTAGCAATCCCCCCAGCAGCACCAAGTGGTACCCAACACAGAGCATGGTTCCACAGTCAGCTTCCAACCGTGGAATTCCGGGGCTAGCTGCTCTCATCCTATGAGACTCAGTTTAAACTAGGGAGCAGAAAAACACTCCCGACTGTCCTGTTTAAAAGGCATCCATCTCTGCTTTTACGTATCTCAGACCCAGTTTTGCTTTTTATTAGCTTGCCATACACAAGTGAGATTTTGAGACACTCGGGTATTCCTTTATCTCTGTGTTCTGACCTGGCCACAGGCCATAGGAGGACAGGAGCTGATCCCTCACATTCACGACCATGTCCCAACAGTAACTCCACCCTTGTTAACTGAATGCACCTGGCACCCTGCTCTTTGACGTACAGGGTCTTATTCAGTCTTCACTGAATAAATGTGTAGTTATATGGCTCCATTTCCCTCCCATTTGAGGAAATTGAAACGCAGAAAAGTTAGGTAAGGAGCTCATGCCGCCACACAATGGGAAAAAAATACAGCCAGGACCCAATTCTCCCTCTCTCCCTCCTCACCACCTCTGTTAAAAGCAGTGACAATAACACACAGGATTTATACAAATAAGGTACAAAGTGTCATTCATGTTCTTACCATGTAGGCAACAGAAGCCAGTTCATAGATGACAGCCTGGGCTCCCAGTTCTGTCACATTAACAAGGCCTGAAACAGCAACTCAGACAATATAAGTCAAATAGCAGACCAGAGGAACCATTTTCTTTATGAAACCAGAACACATTATATATTTATATATAGGTGTATGTGTGTGTGTGTGTGTGTGTGTTAAAAGGATGCAACTGTATTATGTCCCCAGCTTCTGGCTCATATTTTCATATAAGAGAAGTCAAGAATAGCCCAGACATTAAAGCCCTGGCCATCTCTTCTCGGCAAGTTGCCAAGACCTCAGGCGTGGCAATTGATGTGGTCATTCTACAAACCCTTGCTCCATCAGGGAAGACACCCTGAGGACTGTAGGGTAGGCTGAGACTCTGGGGGTTGCAGGTGTCTCAGGAGTCACACAGGGAGAAGGAGGCAGGACAGCATGTACAGCTCGGGGACAACTGAAGCAAGCAGTGTCCACAGAACATCACTGCTACTGCCTGAACTATAAACTTCACCAGAAGTAATACCAAAATAATCACAGAGCCAGCAAAGCACAGGTCACAGCTAACATGGAGCCACACTCAGCTGGAAGCCTGGCAAAGCCAGCAAGGTGGGCAGGTAGTCAGGACACCTGAGTTGGGGAGTTGGTCCTCCCATTCCGAGAGCCTCCCTTTCCTTGTTCACAAAACACAGGAGTGCATAGCAGATGGAGAGCCATGCTGCATGCACTTGCAGCTGGCTGAGGGTGTGTGCCTCCGGTGCAAGCCCCTACAAGGACCCCACAAAACACCAGAGTCTAGAAGCAGAGCTTCCATGTCCTGGAAACCTCTGGACTGTAACTGCCCAGGCTGTGTGCAGGTTCCCCTGGGTGTGGACAGACCTGCAAGGAAGGTCCCAATCTCGAAGGTCCACCACTCGGTGCACACCATGAACATACTGGGGATGGCCAGGCGGGTGTAGGAGCTCCACTCCTGGAAGCACTCCCTTGTCCAACCTGGAGAACAGGCAAGAAAGAAAGCAGACACGCACTGTACAACAGCCACCACTGCTCACACAGAGCCGGAGACATGGGTGTCTGTACCCCAGCAGGATGCAAGAGCGTCAGAGAAGACCACGGCTAGAGAAAGAAGGAACCAACCTGTCAGTGTGAGAAGCTGTTTCCAAAAGTAAATATATGAACAAACACCATAGTGAGTTACCAGCGGGTACTGATAACCATTAGACTATCAACAGCACCCCTCACACAAACAAAGGAAAGTAGGAAGTACTAAAGACTAGTAGCTACAGAGAACTGTATACTGTTGTTGGGAATATTAAAAAAGTAGGTTCCTCTAGAAATCAGTGATGGAGTAACTACACCATTCAGCAATTTTGCCTCTGGGTATAGAACCAAAAGTTCAATGGCATTTAGGGCAGGACAGCAGTTTGTACGTCCCCGTTTACACCAGTGTTATGCCACAGCCTAACTGTGCTTTAGTCCTACGTCAACTTGACACAAGCTAAAGTCATCTGAGAGGAAGGAGCGTCAATTAAAAAAAATACCTCCAGAAGCTCGGTTGTAGGTAGGCATTTTCTTAATTAGAGACAGACAGGAGAGGGCCCAGGTCATTGTGGGTGGTGCCAGCCCTGGGCTGGTGGTCCTTGGGTCTATAAGAAAGCAGGCTGAGCAAGCCATGGGGAGCAAGCCAGTAAGCAGCACCCTTCCCTAGCCTCTGCATCAGCTCCTGTCTCCTGGATCCTGCCCTGCTTGAGTTCCTGTCCTGTCTTCCTTTGATAATGAACAGTGACGTGGAAGTGTAAGGCGAATAAACCCTTTCCTCATCAACCTGCTTTTTCATCATGGTGTTTCGCTGTAGCAATAGAAACCCTGGCCAAGACACCAAGCAAGCCAAATTGTCATCAACAAGTGGAAAAATAAAATGTTCATACAAACAACACACGTTCCTCTCACAAATTAAGAAAATCTTCCTGAAATAAGGGAGTTACAAAACGACCAATATTGTGTAAGCTCAGTGCTAGGAGGAACTGACAGTGACCTGAGTTACAGAAACAAGAGTAGGCTAGTGAGTGTGGGCTAGGAGTTGGTGGGGGAGACCAGGGAGCTGCTGCACAGTGGATACAGCCTTTCAACTTTGTAAGAAGGAAGGTTTTAAAGACTGGAGGTGCTGCGGTTTGAGTGTGTGCCCCAAGCTCTTGTGCTAGAAATGTTACCCCAAAGTCATAGGGTAATGGGGCCTTTGAGAGGGGGTTGGGTCAGGAGGGTGGAGTCTTGGTGGATAAATATACTAGTAGGCTAGTGGATTACTATGCTGTTCAGGGAGTGGTTCTGGGATGGAAATGAGCTCTTTCCAGCATGGCCATCCCGTGTCTTCCTGTGAAGTTCTTTGTAGCATGTTACAGTGTGTGAAGAAGGAAACACTGCAGTGAGCAATGCTGGAACCATGGGTCCTGGCAGCAACACTGGAACCATGGGCTAGAGAGAAAGAACCGACACATGACACCTGCTGTTCTAACATCTGAGGGTCTGCAGCAGGAGGAGAGTGAGTTTGGGGTCAGCCTGGGCTGTTTAGTAGCACAAGACCAGTGTACGTTAATTAAACCCAGATTTAGAAAAAACAAAGTTCTCAATTTAATTTTTATTATAACCACCCATTCTGCAGTATAAAGTGGCGGCAACAGTAATTAGATAAATTAAATGATACAAAACAACACAAATGTGATCAACACCACTGAGTTGTGCTAAGTGTGGCTAAAAGTGGTCAGAGTGCTCAGTCTCATGTGACAGATGTTTTAGCACAATTCAAAGGAGAACACACAGGGCAAAACCAGAATCCAACAAACTTCCTGTGAAGGTCCAGACAGTAACTATTTTAACTTTGACAAATGGTGCTGTCACAATAGCTCAGTTCTACCCTAGAAGTGCAGTAGCAGCCGCAGGCTGTGTGAGCATGACCAGATGTGGTAGTATTCCAGAACTAACAGTCTATGAGCCACACTGGGCTCATGGATTTGCCAGCCTCTGTGCTAAATAAAAAAAATATTAATTAACAGAGAAATCTAAACTACAGTGTAATTAGGTAAGTAAAAATGTATACAGAAGGACACATAACCAGGCAGACAAGGCAGGCCTCCCCAAATGAGGAGCAGGGTCACACACAGGCATGCTGAGAAGTTCGGGTGGCAGGAGGGTTGGCTTGGGAAGTGGAAGGTGTGTGGCTGGTATCCCCACTCTCAGATGCTGGGAGCCAGGCACTCACCGGAGAATACCTTTGGAGCTTGAGAGCCCTGTGCCCGAAGTCATCAGGAATGAGAACTCTGAAGCTCTGACAGTGTATGTGTGTGTGTGTGTGAGAGAGAGAGAGAGAGAGAGAGAGAGAGAGAGAGAGAGAGAGAGAGATTTATTATAATGGCTGATAGGCTGTGGTCCATCTAGTCCAACAATGGCTGTCTACCAATGGAAGATCCAAGAATCCAGTTGTGGTTCAGTCCATGAATTGGATATCTCAGCTTATCTTCAATACATGCCAGAATTCCAAAGAAATAGGCTCTACTGAATTGAATGAATGGACTTGCTACGGAGAGCGAGAGCAAGCAGGCAGAGAGCAAGCTTCCTTCTCCCATGTCCTTTATATGGCTGTCAGCAGAAGGTGTGGCCCAGACTAAGGGTGGGTCTTCCCACCTCAAGAGAACTGGATTAGAAGTGGGTCTTCCCCTTTCAAGTGATTTAATTAAGAAAAAAATCCTCACAGGTGTAGGCAGCCACTTGGGTTTTAGTTAATCCCGTATGTAGGCCAGGAATAGCCATCACACACTTCCAAGTGATCACTACTCTTAGGTAACATCCAATGCTATAGAAACAGTTGAAACACCAGATAAAGCATTCAGAAATCTACTAATAAAACAATAATGATTTCAAAGAAGAAAGCAAACAGATTATGAGGGGATAAATTCTATATATGGACAAGAAAGTGAGCTACAAAGAAGAGAAAGTCAAGGGCAACATGGCAAATCCAGGGAAGAGATTTAATAAGAATTTAAAAAGAAATGCTAGGAATGAAAATTTGACAGAGGAATGCCACTTAATTGAGTAAAAAACACAATTTCAAAATCACCAATAGAGCAGTTCGAGTAGAGTAAAATTAACTATCAAGGAAGAAGATGAGGTCAGGGAAAGTGTTGATGCCTAGCATGGCCTGAGAGATGGGCCTCCGGCTATGCCTGTGGGGGTTACTCTGGATATGGTTGAGTTGGTTAGACCACCTGTGAGTAGCAACATTGCCAGTCTTAGATCCTAGGCTGTATAAGATGGAGTGTGAGCCGAACAGCATCATGGACTCATTACTGACTGTGGGTCTGATGTGCCCAGCGGCTCCAAGCTCCTTCTAGCTTGTTATTCCCACTGTAATGGGCTGTGTTCTTGAACCCTTCCTTCCTTAAGCTGCTTTTCTTTTCTTTTATTATTTATGATGTATACAGTGTTCTGTCTGCACACATGCCTGCAGGCCAGACGAGGGCATCAGATCTCATTATTGATGGTTGTGAGCCGACATGTGGGTGCTGGGATTTGAACCGGGGTCCTCTGGAAGAGCAGCCAGTGCTCTTGACCGCTGAGCCATCTCTCCGGCCCCCTTAAGCTGCTTTTCTTAAGGTATTTTATCAAGCAACAGGAAAAGAAATGAGGATTCTGGGGCATAAGTGCTCAAACCCAAAAGTCTGTGGGGAAAGAAATCGAGGGAAAATTAAAGGCACAAGCCTGGGCAGGTGGCTCAGCAGTTAAGGTGTGGGCCATGCAGACAAAGGAACCAAAATTTAGATCCCCAGAAGGCATGGAAGGCATGGAAATGCCAGGTGGGTGTCGCCACTGGTAGTTCTAGCTTCAGAAAACAAAGACAAGAGATCCTTGGAGCAATCTGGCCAGGAAGACTATCCTTGCTAGTTTTATGTTACCTTGACACAAGCTACAGTCATCTGAGAGGAGGGAGTCTCAACAGAGAAATAGTCTTCTTAAGATGGGGCAGGGAGCTTGGTGGTGGTGGTGCATACCTTTAATCCCTGGCGGATCTCTGTGAGTTCTAGGCCAGCCAGGGCTATTAAGCAGAGAAACTCTGTCTCAGAAAAACAAGACAAAACAAACAAACAACAACAAGAGATGGGGGCTGGAGAGATGGCTCAGCAGTTAAAAGCACTGGCTATGCTTCCAAAGGACCAGTGTTCAATTCCCAGCACCCACATGGCAGCTCACAACTGTCTGTATCTCCAGTTCCAGAGGATCCAGTATCCTTCCACAGACAGGCAAAACACCAATGTGCATGAAATAAAATTTAAAAATAATAATTAAAAGAAAGATCAGTCTTTAGGCAAGCCTGTAGGGCATTTTCTTAATTAGTGATTCCTGGGAGAGGGCCCAGACCATTGTGGGTGGGGTTATCCTTGGGCTGGTTGTCAATTCCTCCAAACAGCAAAGACCATTACCCAAATACTTTGATCAAATTAAGCAAGCTTTATTTTCTGACAGAGTTATCTCTCTAAAGTGGAATTTAAAAAAATAGCCTCAAACACAGAAGGTGGGGTTTATATTAGCCCCAAAACTGCAAGGCTGGGTGTTTTCAAGGGTTTTGGTTACATGGGAACCAAACAGAATATTTCAAAATTATTTGGCAGAACATTATACTAGGGTGGAGAATAGGGTATAGGGTGTGGAAAATGTCAAATTCCAGAAAATGGGTCAAGACATGGTCAAACACAAGTTTTACAGAAAATAGGAATGAACTAACTTTGACCTTGTAACAAGATGGCTTTTAATCTTAAAATGGAGTCATGCTGGTTCTTCACTAGCAATCCTGGGTTCTATAAGAAGCAGGCTGAGCAAGCCATGAGGAGCAAGTCAGTAAGCAGCACTCCTCCATGGCCTCTGCATCGGCTCCTGCCTCCAGGTTCCTGCCCTGCTTGAGTTCCTGCTCTGACTTCCTTCAGTGGTGAACTGCGATGTGGAAGTGTGAGTTGCTTTAGTCATAGTGTTTCATCACAGCAATAGCCACCCTATCTAGGACAAAGCCTAACCCTATCTAGAAGCTCCAAGCCCAAGAGACCCTGCCTCAAAAGAATAAGACGCAAGAGTGATTGAGGGTGACTCTCAACATCAACCCTGGGCTTCACAAACACCAGCACGCTGTGCCCAAGCACATCTAAATACACACACTATGTACACACCTCACACATACAAACACAGGCACAGAAATCTATTCAATAAGGCTACAGTAGAAAATGTCACAAACATAAGCAAAGATGCAACCATTCAAGAGTATGATACATTTAGGACACCAAACAGACATACCTGAAAAGAAGCCTTCCACAACATTTTACAGTGAAATTGCTAAGACTATGAAATAAAGAAATCTTAAAGTCTGTAAGAGAAAAAAGCCACCTTGCAAAAACAATTCCAACAGAATAACATCTGACCTGTCAGTAAAAATTCCTAAAAGTCAGGAAAGTAGAGAGAGATTTTACACACACACACACACACACACACACACACACACACACACACACACACACACACACACACACACACACACACGGCGGGGGAGAGAGACAGAGACAGACAGAAAGGTGGGAGAGGAGAAAAGAGAGACCCATGAGAAAGGAACTACTAATCAAGCAAGCTTACTACAGACTGTAAGGTTATCTTTTAAAGACAGTGAAGTGAGCCTGAAAGTGTAGCTCAGTTGGTCAAGTGCTCACTTAGAATTCACAGCAACTGCAGCTGCCTGCACAAGACCTGCCCAAGATGAAGCCAGTCAATATTCTAGCGTGAAGTAGGGAAGGATTTCATGAGCCTCCACCCACGACAAGGGCACTATGGACAGCTGATGGCTTCTAGGGGAGGAAGGTGTCTTTAAGGGTGTGGCTCCTGGTAGCTTGGCCGTGCTCCGATGGATGGCCACATGCCCAGAACTATATAGACAGCACAGATTGGAGTCAATGAGCCATTAAAGTTTTTTTAAAAAGTCATGAAGTTAATGCACGGTCCTTATGTTCCACTGCGGAGGCTGCAGAGCAACACTGAGAAGTTCTCTCAACTTTCTCTCATCTGGGTGAGCTTTTAAAAGTGAAATGGATGTAAATGAAAGGCTGGAAGAAAAGCTGGGTCAAGGGACTTGAGTGTGTTCTTATTTTAAGCACTTTTCACAGGTTCATTTTGTTTTAAAACATCAATACTTGTTGACGGCAATGAAAGGTTGTGTGTGGTGGGGGGGACTGGATCATCACAAGTAGAAGACTAAAATGCAAGCTCTGTATCTCACCCTGTTCAAAAATCTATTCAAAGTGGATAAAAGACTTGCATGTCAGACCTGACTCCCTGAAACCACAGAAAAAGACTTCAAGAGGTCAGTTCAGACAAGGGCTTCCTGGAAAGAGCTCCGTAGCACGAGAAAGAAGAGCAGGACTGGCAAGTGGAATTGTATGAAACTGAAAGCCCCACAAGGCAAAGGAAGTGACTTCCAGAGTGCACAGGCTATCTTTAAAATAGGAGGATATTAATCACTGTGTGTCCCACAAGCAGGAGGACCTGAGTTCAGATCACCAGGATCCATGCAGACACCCCGTGTTCATCATAATCCCAACACGGGGAGGCAGATGGGAGACCCTGGGGCTTGTCAGGTGAGTTGTAGGTTCAGGGAGGGACTGTCTTGAACAATAAGATGGAACGCACTTGATGAAGACACTATCTGTCACCTCTGGCCCCCACATGCATATGGACTTGTGCACATGCACCCACATGCACACATCACATCACTAAGGAAGTGCTGGTGAAACCCATATCTCAAGCCTGTTAGAGTGACAAGATCCAGGTCACACAGAGAATAATTACTGAAACAGTTTATGACAACATGGATGAAACTAGGATATACCTGTTAAGTGAGACAAGACATAGACAAATATTGTATGATCTCTCTATGTGGAATCTGAAAAAGCAGAAGTCATAGAAAGAACAGAAGGCTGGTTATCAAGGGTCGGGTCATGGAGAGAATCAGTGAAATCAGTCACATGATGGAAACTTCTGGAGACCTAATGAACAACTGAGGAATACAGTTAGCACTGTGTGCCTTGAGTCTGTCAAGAGAAACAGTAGGAACCATCCTTGCCACTCACAGAGCCTTAACTGTGTGAGGTGCTGGGCACACTAATTAGCTTTGCAGCAGTAATCGTTTCATAGTGTACATGGATGTCAAAACATCATGGTGGGCTGCCACAGAGGTGTGCACCTGTAATCCCAGCTACTAGGAAGGCTGAGATGGGGTAGGGGGTCACAAACTTGAAGCTACCCTGGCAACTAGCAAGACCCTGTCTCAAAACTTACAAGCAAAAAAACAGTAGGCCTGTTACATATGAGACCCTGGGTCCTATCCTAAGGACCACAAAACAAAGCAAACTACCATAGTAAAAGTCACCGCCACAGTCACTCCTTAAATACATGCAAGTTTTATCAACTTTGCCTCAGTAAAGCTGAAAAAAAAGAAAAGAAAGAAAGGAAAGAAGGAAGGAAGAAAGAAAGAAAAAAGAAAGAAAGAGAAAGAAAACTGGGCTCCTCAGTTAGCTGTGAGTTGTCCTGGCTGGTCAGAGAGCATCTGTTCTCTTAAGTTCATACGACAGTAAATCTAACTGCCCTTCAGTCAAATGGCATGATCTTCCAGAAACAGGATTTCATATTAGTAGTTTTCATTCATAAACTATAACAGCAACTTAAAACTCAGTATTCTATCAACAAAGGGTTATTTTGGTAGCCACACAAACACAAAGTCACACAGTGTCCCTAGTAGCTTCTGTATTTTCAGTAACAAACGTTTTCTATATTTTGAGATTTCCTAAAAGATAAAAAAAAACTACAAGGGAAAGAAATTCAAAAGTCAGAGCTGCACCTGTGAGCCTCCAACATGTGTGTGTGTGTGTGTGTGTGTGAGCCTCCACAGTGCCGCCCATGGGCCTCCACTGTGCAATGCAAGATCGCAGGGTCACGTACCTCCCCAGGTGTGGATGTGAATCCTCTTCCACCACACGTAGAGGAAAAGCAGGGCAGACAGGAAAAACTGGGAGGTGGTGTTGGCCCAGGCTGACCCTCTGCAGGAGAAAAGTCGAGGGTTAGCTCCAGTGTGTCTTTCCAAACACAAACCAACAGTCTGCCTCTCACAGCTTTTGCTGGCAACAAGCTTGGAGTGCCTGTGCCATCTTCCATTGTGTGTTAGCTGGATCCATGCGTAATAGGCTTGAAGCTGTATAGACACCCCACAAGCCACCAACCTTAAACAACCCCCACCTAAGTATTTCTTAGCTGGTGACCAGTTCAAAGGGTTGAGCCAGCCAGCTCCTCTACTCAAGTGTTCACCCGAGCCATGGTTTTATCACGCAGGGTTAGAACGGGTTTGGTTTCCATCAAATAGAACACTGGGCACCCTCAGTGGGAGCCATCCTCCCACCCACGTAGACAGATGCTGGGCCAGGGCAGTGCCACACTTAGCCTTCTTGTTTACTGTCCCTCTCGCATGCTTGTCTGAGCTTCACACTTTATCACTTATCAACCCACCTTCACAGTCTCTCCTCCTTTGTCCAAACCATCCTGGGCATATCTCTTTAGGGAAAGTCCAGCGTTCTGCCTCTTAGGTGCCCTCTGTGATGTCTAGTCAGTCCGCTGGTCCTTCCCTCCCCTGACGGGACCCAGCTATGCTCTGACCAATGCCTGGGTGACAGTTGCCCTTGGCTGTCAACTTAGCTGTACTAAGAAATGCCTAAGGATGTTTTGTTTTAAAGCCACCTCTATGGGTCTGTGGGGCTTGTCTAGAGGTGGACATAGGAGGCAGTGATTGAGGGAAGACCCACCTTGAATGTGGGTCATACCATCCAGCAAGTTGGTGGCCCAGACACAAAGAAATTAGAGGAAGAAACATGCCAGTGTCTGCAGGTGCCTTTTCCTTTTGGGATAAAAGTATTTATTGGTGTTGTCACCATCCCCCGACATTAGACTACATTTCCTGTTGCTTGGCTTTTGTCAACTTGACACAAATCTAGGCACATCTGAGAAGGGGGCTCTTAAGTGAGAAAATGCCTTCAAGACTGTCATGTAAGCAAGTCTGTGGGGTGTCACCTTGGTTAGTGACTGATCCATGAGGGCCCAGCTCACCGTGGGTGGTGGCATCCCTGGGCAGGTCGTTCTGGGTGGTACAGGAAGCAGGCTGAGCAAGCCATAAGCAGTGCTCTCCACTGCCTCTGCATCAGCTCCAACTTGGACTTCCCTCCATGATGTGATGTCAAGGTGTAAGCAAAATGAACCCTTTCCTCCCCAAGCTGCTTTGGTCATGGTGTTTCATCACAGCAATAGAAACCCTCACCAAGACAGGCGCTCAGCCTTTCAACTGGCCCTGCCACCAGTGACTCTACAGGGAGCCTCCAGGCCTTTAGTGCCAGCTTGGGATGGCAGAGCCATCTAACTTCTTGCCTCTTCAATAGGTGTATGGCCATTGCTAGACTACCCAGATCATATCGTGTAAGTCCATCCAATAATTTCTCTTTCCTAGTGTGTGTGTACTCTCTGCCTCTGTCTCTGTCTGTCTGCCTGCCTCTCTCTCTCTCTCTAGGAAACTCTGACTGTTACAGACTCCTTCAGCTTTCTCACATGAGGAAGGCAGCATGGGAACCAGGCCTTGTACGTGTTAGGCAAGCTCTCTCCCACTGACTGCATGCCTGCCTGTGTTCCTCTTTAGGATGTCACAGTTTCATTGATATTCAGAGCCAACATTAATATGTGAATGGAAAGCAAACAAGTTGCAGCAAAGACATCCAACAGTTGACATAATTCATATTACTCTATTTTGTTCTCTTCTCCTTAATTCCTAACATATTAACTTCTTTTATTATAATTTTTATTCCCCTTTCCTTCCCCTATCCATTCCCATGTTACCCCTACACACACTATCATTCAAATTCATGGCCTCTTTTTCTTTAATCGTTGTTACATATATTTGAGTAACAGTCATGACCCACTAACCAATGAAGACAGTGCCTTGAAACACACCCAAAGTGTCAGGTTGGTGTGACTCTCTGACTACATATGCAGATTAGCTCTGGACTAGGGCGGCAGAGCTTCCTCTGATGTGAGGAAGGGCCATCAGGACACCATTGGTATACTGCTAACTTCCTTCCTTATGGGGTCCTCATCTCTTCAAGCTTCAAGAAGGAATTTGCCTCAAACACTTAAAATTCAGAGGCCTTGAGAGAAGCCCTTCAGGCCTCTGCCTGGCAGCCGCCTCAGCCTCCAGGTGGCAGCAGCTTGCTTGTTAGGACTAACACAGCTTCAACCACAGAAGCTGCGCGGTATGGCTGTCCAAGGCTCCCTGCTTCCCATCTAATCTTCACCCTCTCTCTCCCAGCAATACAAGCTAGCTGCTCCCCTGCGGGCCCATGGGGCCAGCTCTTACCTGCCGTGCAGAGCACCGGACACAGACTTCTAGGTACCTGCTTACCTGCCCGTGTTCCCCGCTTCACTGGCATATCCCCAGCCCTAGGGCACCGCATGCGGCAGTCTTTGTTGGATGAATGGGTTTCCACTTACACCACTCCGAGGTCCAAGGCGTACAGCAAGAATGCATTCATGCCCACGTTGACAACGTTTGCTGCGATCCCAACAATAACTTGGGGCATAATGATGCCCTAAAATTCCCAAACACATAGGAAAACATTACTGTTTTCAAAAGTTAGTTGGCTAGGCTGTCAAGTGAACCGCACAGTTAAATGGGTGGTGGTGGGAAAGTCATGTGAGGCTAATTGAAAAGTCATGGATGGCAACTGTCAAATGAGCCCCTCCCCGATGAACCTTCTCACCAAGCCACCCAGAAGCCCACGGTGACCGTTTCAAGACTCTGTCCAGCTTCATCACAGCAACAGGGAAAAGAGGGCGTGGTCCCGGGAAGAACACACAAGCTTTAGGGGTGTTGGGGCCCAGAGCCCAACACTCCTCAGAGCTGTATCTGAGTGGGGAGAAGCATGTCCATCCCTTTGCTTAGCTTTGTATGATGTTCTTTTTGTTTTGTTTTAGGGACAAGGTCTCATTATGTAGCTCCGGCTACTCTTTATGTAGACCAGGATGGACCCAAACTCACAGAGTTCCTAGTGTTGGAATTAAAGGCATGCAACTATCATGCCTGGCAATTCACATTCCTACTGTTTATGCTGTCCACACTTCAGTCCTCAAACACTTTCTTCACATTAAACTTCTCCCAGAAATCAAACAAAACTGACGACTGTCAAAGCAGAGCAATTTCCTCCGGGCTAGGGATGAGGCCTTTATGATAAAAGGCTAGCAGACTGCCTTCAGGTGGCCTGGGACAGGACACTAAGTGGGGCCCAGTTTCTGTTCACCCACTTCTGTCCCAAAGAGGGACAGAAGGAAAACTAAGAGGAATCAGACAGATGAACCCGCATGGTGGCCATCTCTTCAGTACAGGAAACCACAGGGGCTCATGCAAATTATCCCAGAAAATCCCTCTAAAACATTTACTCTACAGTAGTGTGCAGTGAAAATACGGAAGAGTACCTGGCTCTGTAAATACCGTGTCTGCAGCTGGAATAGGAATGCTGCCTAGAAACAGAAACACACAAGAGCTTACTTTGTTTCTGGTTTTGTTGTTGTTTTTACATTTCTGTGCTTCAAACCCAGGACTTCACGCTCAGCAAATGTCTGCCACAAGGCTATACCTCAGCTTGGTGTCTTTTGAATACTAATTTTATAAAATAGTGGGTTTTAATATAATATTCTCATACATATCAAGTTCTGGAGGGTTTTTTGTTTGTTTGTTTGTTTTGTTTTGTTTTGTTTTTACTAAGTTTTTGGCCTGTATGCTGGCCAAAAGGAAAATGGGCTTCATTTGGCATCCCTATACATGTCACTGAACTTTCTTCTTCTCCCCGCACACATCACCGGCCTCCCAGCCCCTACTCCCCTTCCTCCCATAACTTCCTCTTCTATCTGATGACGTATGCTCCACAACCCTGTCTTGCTCCCCCTCCTCTCTATAGACAGCTTCCTCCCCTCTCATAGTGCACTTTCTACTTCTGCACCACACACTCACCCACATATGCATATTCATATGTATGTATATACACATATATAAACACACACATACGCAGAAATATTTAAATCTACATCTGCATGAGAGAGCAAAGATGCAATATTTGCTTCTCTGAGTCTGGCTTACTTCACCTAATACAAGGATCTCCAGTTCTATTTATTTTCTTTTCCTTCTTGAATTTATTTATTTTATTTTTATTATTGTGTGTATATGTGCATGTGTGTGTGCCACAGCACACATGTGGGTCTCTGGGGATTGAACTCAGATCAGGATTACCAGCAAGCACCCATCCCACCCCACCCATCCCATAATTTCATTTTTCTTCATAACTAAATGAAATTCCACTGTGTATATGTATACCTTTTTATCCCACCCCACCCATCCCATAATTTCATTTTTCTTCATAACTAAATGAAATTCCACTGTGTATATGTATACCTTTTTATCCATTCATCTGTTGGTGGAAATCCAGGCTAGTTCCATATCTTGGCAACAATGAAATATATGCAAGTATGTCTGTGGCATGCTGGCGTCTTTCAATTATATACAGTGGTACAGTGGGATCTTGGAGTAAATAGATTTTTAGCTTTTTGAGGAACTTCCATACTGATTTCCATGGTAACCAAACCGGTTTACACTCCCATGTCCTCATCAGCATTGGCTGTCATTAGTGTTCTCGGTAAGATCAGACCAGAATGAGTGGATAAAAGGTTTACTTCCCAAAGAAAATGAAAGAGCGATTCCAAGTGGTTGAAGCAAACACCCCAGCCTCAAATGTCTGAAGAGGGAGTAGGCAAAGATGGTCTGTAGCCATCTTTGGCCAGAAGCCTCCAAACTGTAGGTGTACAGGAGCCAGGCTGGGCACCCAGAAGGCAGGAAACTCAGTCTCAGAGGCCTAGTACAAGGGCTTGGGTGTGAGCATGACCCTCAGTTGTGCTCTGTACAAGGATCTGAGCACCCCAGGACCCATATGGTGAAAGGAGAGACTTAATTCTCACATGTTGTCTTCTGACCTCCACATATAGGTCATGGCATGATGAGGAGCCCCAGCTGGATCAGGGCTACTTGGGTGTTGGGGAGCCTTGAAGCAGCTCAGAGTGTGATTTTGCCTGCCTTTCAACCCCACGTATTTGCCACAATGCTGTTCCTAATTCCTTGTTCCATGGCTCCTCTTTTTAAAAACTGCATTCTATGTAGCTCAGGCTGGCTCAAGATGCTCTACCTCAGCCTTCTGAATGCAGGGTCACAGACAGTGCCACCCTGTCCAGGAGTTCCATGGTTACTTTTTGATTGCATCAAAGGAATGCAGTTAGGAAACAGCTCCGTGCTTGTTGTGCTACATGGTACAAACACAAGGTCATGCCCCTTGAAGAATGAAAATCCCTCCTGTGGGTTTGTTGCTCAGTGTCTGACACCTCCTGACCACAGAGGCTGAGACTCCACAGGAGAAAGGGTAAGACAGCACTGGTGGGGTTTCTGAGCCTCGGAGGACAATAGGCTTTTAGATTCTTGATTAACTTACTATATTTTTTGCTTCAAGAAAAATGCTATAATGATGTTGATCGTCACTTTCCTCCTGGATTCACTAACTATGCTTTCAATGATGCTTGTGGTTAAACCATAAAGCAGGTTTAGAGTATATAAGGTATAGCCTATTTCCAATAAATGGGCAGACATCCTGATTCACCCTCAGATCATGACAGTCTCCTTCCCTTGCCAACTCCACACCTCCTCTTTGGGATCTGAACCCCGCTGAAGCAAAATAAATAAAATGTAATTAAAGACAACGTAAGGGGGAAAGTGTTATTTTGGTTGTTTTTGTTTGTTTGTTTTGTTTTTTGAGACAGTGTTTCTCTGTGTAGCCCTGGCTATCCTGGAACTCACTCTGTAGACCAGGCTGACCTTGAACTCACAGAGATCCTCTTGCCTCTGCCTCTGCCTCCTAGCGCTGGGATTAAAGGTGTGCACTGCCCAGTGGAAAGGGTTCATTTTGGCTCACAGTTCGAAGGCACCCTCCACCATGGCAGGAAGTTCACGGTGGCAGAAAGTTAAGTCATGCTGCATCCACAGTCAAGAAGCAAAGAGAGATGGATGCTTGTGCTCAAACAGCTTTCTCCTTTCGTGCAGTCCAAGAACCCAGCCAACGAATGGTGCCACCCATAGCGGATAGGCCGTGCTGTTCAAATCAACCTAATAAAGATAATCCCCCAAAGGCGTTCCTGAGGCTGATCTCCCGAGCAACTGTAGTTCTCATCAAGTTGACGATTGAGATTAACCATCCCACATTATGGAATTAGCTTTGGTGGCCATCAGTGGACAAGTAGATAAAGAAAATGTGGCCTACATAAGATAATGGAATACTATTCTGCCATTAAGATTGAAATCATGCCATCTTTAGGAAAATGAATGGAACTTATGCTCCTTGTTTAGGCGAAAAGCCAGACTCAGAAGGACAATTATTATGTATTTTCTCTCATATGTAGAATTTGAGAAGGAGGGGTTAGAACAGGGGAAGTTGAGAAGGATCGTGAGAACCAGGGGAAGGCAGAAGAAGGAAAGAGAGGAAATGGGTATGATCAAAGTGCATTATATACGTGTATGAAAATGTCTCGATGGAAATAATTGCCTACTATTATCATTTCTACGATTATACACTAGTAAAGAAACACAGCAGTCTTGAAACTTACAGGAAGAGCAGGGATGCATATCATCACATAAACCTGGGCTAGCCTGGAACAAGAAGACAGCATTTAGCCAACAGAGAACTGGCTTCTGGTCACCCTACCTTCAGGTCCAGCTCAGGAGCATTGTCTAAAAGTTAAAACTAAACATCTACTTGGAACACACTGAGTCAAAGCAGTGTACTCTGCACCAGCAGCAGCCAAAACTGCTAAGTGCTTCCTTAAGTTGGGGGAAAGGGCAGCAGGCACTTTTCAGTGTGGAGAGGGGTGACTGGCAGAGGATGACCCCACAGGAAAACTTGCTACAAGTTCAATAGGATGTGATGATCTTTTGGAAAGAGCCAGGCTCAGAACAGAGCCCCCACTAGACTGTTAAGTTTTATAAAACCCACCCCTAAACACAACAGTGAAGACAACTGTGCCTTGGACTCCCTATGGGAGAAAATGGTGGTGGACATGGAAGAGATAGCACAGTGTGTGCTGGCTTTGTCCCTGTGCCTGTCACTCAATGGTCACAGTCACAGCTTCTCGTCCCAAGGGCTCACCTGGCGACTTCTGGATCCTGCCTTAGGAGCAGGAGCAGGTGCTCAGTGTTGAGGAAGATGGCCCAGCAAGGGAAACAGCAGAGCAGCAAGATGAGGATGCCCCGCTGGAGTACGACCCCCACGCGCTTCAGGTTCCTGCCTCCAAAGGACTTGGAAAAGCAACATTTCAGTAAACGTGGGGACCAAGGCCCCCCTTCCAGCAGGCCCAGCAGCTCTGGCAGCCATGTTCCCTGCAGCACTGCCCAAGGGCGGGGCGGGGCAGGGGAAGGTGATGGGGGAGGTGCAGAGGAGGGCTGCCAGGTCCCAGACAGCCAGCTGCCACTGTAACATTGTATGTATTCTAGGACAATTGTTCCCTGCTCTTGGGAACTGGGGCTGTTCACACGGAGCACACAGGAGCAGGAAGAGGCTTTGGGAAAGGGATGGGCACAGCACAGGGGTGTGGAGGAAGGAAGACACCCACTGTGCTGAGGTGGTCCAGTAGTTGGCTTTGTGTTCACTTGACGATTGTATTGAGGAAGCCTCAAGAGACCCAGCAAAGGCTAAGTAAGCCCAGTGGGATGGGCAGTGATGGAAAGGGCATTGATGGGGAGGAAGCCCAGTGCAGGGGTGAGGGTAAGCCCAGTGCAGGGGTGAGGGCCTGGAGTGCAAAGACCACTTCTTTTTTTAATTTATTTATTGTGTATACAGCCTTCTGTCTACAGGTACCAGATCTCATTCAAGGTGGTTGTGAGCCACCGTGTGGTTGCCGGGAACTGAACTCAGGACCTCTGGAAGAACAATCAGTGCTCTTAACTACTGAGCCATCTCTCCAGCCCCGCAAAGACCACTTTTAAGAAGCTTACAGGGGCTCTCAGATCGGTGGACAAGGAAGACATGAACCCTGTGCAGACCAGACCGGCAGGGCAGACTGCCTACCAAACACAAGGGGAGTCATTGATCTGCCTGTGCCCTGCACCAGGAACAGACCAAACCCAACCAACAAAAGTGGAGTCCCTGGGCCGGGCGGTGGTGGCGCATGCCTTTAATCCCAGCACTCGGGAGGTAGAGGCAGGCGGATCTCTGTGAGTTTGAGGCCGGGCTGGACCGATAGCCTCCTAAACAATACAGAGAAACCCTGTCTCGTAAAAAACAAAAACAAAAACAAAAACAAAGTGGAGTCCCTTTGCTAAATGACATGCAAACTGAAACTTTAAGGAGGCAGAAAGATACCAAACAGACTGTTTCCCCCCAAACAGAGGTCCCAGCCTAATAAGCCAGGCTAATAATTTCCAGTGCTTTAAATTGTGGGAGTAAAAAAAAAATCACGTGAAGGAACCTGGTGCCACCCAGGTCCTGTTTGTTTTCCCACACCTCTCCTTGTCCCCACCTCACAAAGCCTGCTCACTGCTGTGCCATCAGCATGAGCTGTCGCCTTCCTGTCCCCTAGCACAAATGAAGCCTGATGAGAGTCACAGCTGAGTTAGCTGAGTGTTGGTCATGTGATTTAGTAACTGCACTGTCCGTTCATGAAGGGATGCCAAACCACAGTGTGTGGTTCCCTAGGCAACTGCCAAGAACCCACGTGAGCAACAAGGGTTCTCACCTGAGACATCAGCGTGTCACAAGCTGAGGCCAAGCCAGTTCCGACTGAAATCCCAGTAACATTCACAACCTACAAGGAAAACAAACAAACAAACAACAACAATGACAACAAAAACCGGCCCAGGGCAGCAGGCAGCGGTTGCTCAGAGCCAAGATGCCTCAGCAGCTCATTCTGGTTTTATGAGGCAAGGTCTCCTTATTTAACCCTGGCTGTCCTGGAACTCTCTGTGTAGATCAGGCTGGCCTTGAACTCACACAGATCCACCTGCCTCTGCCTCCTCTGTGCCTACTTTGCCCAGCCTTTTTTTATTTGGTTGTTTTTTTGTTTTTGTTTTTTGTTGTCATCATCATCTCCCCATGTCCTATCCCACCCCCAGGGTCTCACTATGTAGCTCTCGCTGTCCTGGAGCTCACTGCATAGACCAGGTTGGTCCTGAACTCCGCCTGCCTCTGCCTCCTGAGTGCTGGGATTAGCGGCCTGAGTCACTGCACCCCGCTCAGCAGCTCATTTTGAAGGAGCATGCACGCCCATGGGAATGTCCAGGCTCCAGTAGTTCAGATGGCCACATGGACCCTTGGGAATTATCAAACAAAAATGCCCATTCTAACCAAGGGTCACAGCCACCCTAGGTCAACCAGGGGAGCTTAAAGCCTACGTTTCTCTTTTTGAGGCAGGGTTTCTCTATGTAGTCCTGACTGGCTTACACTTGCTATGCAGACCAGGCTAGCCTGGAACTCACAGAGATCTTCCTGCTTCTTACTAACAAGTGCTGGGATTAAAGTGGGTGTGATCCCACCCAGAAAGCCTGGGTTTTCTTAATATAGCATGTAAGAGCTTCTGCATCAGCAAAGAAAAGACAGGCACTGTGGCATGTCTGCACAGGGTGGAGGCAGAAGGATCACTGGAGTCCAGAAGTCCAACAAGACCAGTCTCAGTACCAGAGCCAAAACCCACCTTAAAAAAAAACTAAAAAATAAACAGAAAGGTTTCCTATTGTCTAAGACCATGTACCTCATCTGCCACAGGATACCCATTTGAAAGGGCTAGGTCTCTCTCTCTCTCTCTCTCTCTCTCTCTCTCTCTCTCTCTCTCTCTCTCTCTCTCTCTCTCTCTCTCTCTCTTGCACACACAGCAGCAGCAGCAAGAAAAAATATCTATCTAGAACTCTAGGCTTGGCAGAGGGCTCAGTGGTAACAGTGCTTGCTATACAGGCATGAGAACCTGGGTCTGGATCCCCAGAGCCCCTGTATAAGCTGCACGAATGGTCAGCTCCAGGACTTAGTGTGGGTCAGGGGGTGCTATGGAGACAGGCACACCCTGGAGCCCACTAACTCTCCAGCCCAGCTGAAACACTGCTCCAGTTTGGGTAAGACAGGCTGCCTCAAAGAAATTAGGTGGAGAAGGAGAGAGTAAGGACACCCACCTTCTCCCCTGGACTCTGAATGCACATGCAGGGGTGCTGTATCTGCAAACACATGCATACACACATAACACCCAGTGTTTATTGAGCACTCACTGTGTGCCAGGCTCTTCATGTATATGGTGTTATGACCAGGCACTGTCCTAAGTTACATGTACATAGAGTTATCGTTCCCATTTAAGTGGGTGGCCTGGGTGACAGAAAACTTACTGAGGTGTGACCTGAAGCTAGGATGTCATTCACTCCCCCAACTACCCAGAGATTAGCCCACAGGTTGGGGGGTGGGACTAAGTGTCCTATTGTTCAGGCCAGCAGAGGAAGAGGGAAAGTGGAATGCATTCTTCATCCTGGGTCTCACATGTAGCAACTGATATCAACTCCAGGTAAATGAGCTACTTTACTTACCAAGAGTCTGACCCAGTGTTCTGGCTAAGAAATATGGTCCCCAATGGCATATGTGCTGAAAGTCTGGTCCTTAGTATGGCGTACTTGGGAGGCAGTGGGGTCTTCAAGAAATGACATTTAGTGGGGGGTGATTAAGTCACTGGGAGGCTGGCCTTGGGTGGGGCTGATATAGTTCTCACAGGGGGCAGAAGATGTAGGGGCTCGGTAGGTAGAGTGCCATCTTAGAATTCGAAAATCCAACACTGTGTGACCTGGGCATGGTGGCATGTGCCTGTCACCCCCACCCCGGAGAGGTAGAGGCAGCAAGAACAGAGGCTGGGGGCTACCCTTTACTACATACGGAGTTTGAGGTCAGGCTGGGCTTCATGAGACCGGCTCAAAAAAAAATTCTCCTGAGACCTGATTTGTTCCTGGGAGAACGAATTGTTAGGCGAGTGAGCCAGGCACTGGAGTTGCTCTTGCTTTCTGCCTCACTGTGTGACTGACTGTTTGCTCCTCTCAAAAGCCACAATGCCATCTGCATCCGATGATGGAGCGACGAGGCCCCCACCAGCATCGGGCAGAAGCTGATGCACGCTCCTAAATGTCCTGAAGTGTGAGGTAAGGAGGCCTTTTCTCTATGGAGTGCCCAATGCTTTGAGGCAGTGGTAATGGACCAAGATGCCTGGGAATCTACAGCCTCAAGAGGTCAATAGCAGACCACGTGTGGAGTGCCCTACAATTACCCTACCAGACATGAAACCCAGAGGGCGCGTGGCACAATGAGGACCCAGATGTGAGGCACACACTACTCATGAACCCATCTAGGAGGAGAAAAGGGGGAAGGACTCGCTTTATAAAAGAGTTTTGTTTGCTTTGTAGACACACATGTGAGAGTGTCTTTGTTCTGTTCTGTTTGGGTTTTTTGTTGTTGTTGTTAGGGTTGTTGCTGCTGCTGTTGTACACTAACTGCCTTTGGCTGGCTTAGAACTCAAGTCATCCTCTGCAGCTCACATATGTTCAAGCTTCTACCAGACTGAACTAAGTTAATGCTCTCTTTTACCATGGACAACATTATAATAAAAGATTAGACAAAATAATTAGGCCTATAATTCCAACTGAGGCAAGAATATTAAGAACTCAAGGCCAACCTGGGTTACTGAGCAAGACCTTGTCTCCAAAACAAAATTTATAAAACTTAACATATCTAATCATGGCGGCATCGAGTCCACCGTCTTCCCAAAAGTTAGTTAGCTACAAGTTAGCATCCATTAAAAGCAACATATCTCCTTGACCCATTTGCAAAGGGCTGACAATGGTTCTCCCTATTCAGGAGCTTATCTGCAGAAAGCCCTGCCTGTGGAACAGGCCAGCCTGCCCACGTACCGTCACCAAGCCTCCCAGCTCCCTGTGGGTTGTACTTATTCCTGTTGTTTTTACATCAAAAACTCTAGAGACATAAACAGGAAAAGGAAAAGATGTTGCCATAAACAACAGCAACACACACACACAATTTTAATTTGCCCCCCCGGAAGATATATCTTACAATAATTTTAATGAAACAACGAGCAAACAGTCTCATGATGTGATGCAGACACAACTTAAAGGCTTGAGATCCTCACCGAAGCCCAGGATGGCAATGGCTAGCCAGGTGAGGCTGAACTGAAGGACAGAGGAAAAGGGCAAGAAGGAGCTTCGGGGTGCGCTCAGGCAGGACAGCAGAGCTGTCTGACTCCAAAACATTTGGTTGAACCAGATCTGTGGCAGAACTCAAATGTCCCAAAAATAAGGCGCTACTCCTCCAAGAGAAGAATGCAAAGTGCCCAGAGCCAGGAACTCAGTCTTCCTGGGGATGCCAGGACTGGCTCTGAGGACCACAGCAGCCGTAAAAGGTTGGGGTATCCTAGTGTAAGGACTCCACGGGGCAAAAGCAATAGGATGGGGTGAGGACCTGACAGGACTGGAGGGCAAGGGGCTGAGGAGAGCCTAGGCACATGAGGCCAAGCATTTGTTTCTACTATAAGGAGACTGCAGGAGAGGCAAGGGTCCTAGAAATCAGTGAGGTAGCTGAGAGGAGTCAAACCACACCCCCAAAGATGACAGCAAAGGGGCGGAAGAGAAGAGAAGCTCCCAAGGGCTGAGGGGGCTGACGGATATGAGAAAAATCACCGGATGGGATGGGATGCCCAAAAGGGAGCTTCCTGGCTGGGACATCAGGACTAGGAAAATACCAGGTCTCTAATGGCCACTCTGCCAACGCATGTTCACAACCCTCGGTGTCCAGGACACTGTGGACATTGCCCAGTACTATCCAGTGGCCAAGCTCATCTTACCTGGAGAAGACACTGGGACACACACACACACAGAGAGAGAGAGACAGAGACAGAGACAGAGACAGAGAGAGAGAGAAGAGAGAGACAGAGAGCCCGCATTAGTTCTGCCAATACAGTAATAGGCCCATACGTAAATTGAGACTTCATAGCCATGTGCTCTCTGCCACGTTGCTGACAGGGAAACTGTAGGCCTTCACTGTTGCACAGGGCATTCCAACATCCTAGGGGATAAAAGGGACATTTTCTGAAATTGGGGGGTGGGGGTTGCCAGTTGTCATCACCTCACCGGGAGATTTTTTTCATGTCTGAAAGTGCGGATCAAATGCAAGCAAAGCAGCTCTCCCCACCTAACAGATGGAGAGAGGCTTCCGAGGAGGTGTGATCATAACGAAGACACATTACAAGAGTAATAGTGCAATCTTAAGGAACTGTGTAACTAATAGCAATGCACCATGCCTCTGCTGGTTCCACATTGCTGTGAGATCTGCTCAGAACTCTCTCTTTTTCCCAAATGCGATGATCACCATGGTAGCGGTGGGTCAGACCCAGTCCCTGCATTTCTAATTGTGCGGCTTGGGGTTAGAGATGTGCCCAGCACACACACACAGCCCTGAGCTCATCTCCAGCACTGTACAAATAAAACATGTCAAAGCTTTACTCCCGAGGCTTTACCAAGTTAACACCTACAGAAACAGCGAGTGTCACGGCGTCCAGCTCCACTTTGCCCAGGTGTCCGCAGAAGATGGAACTGACGATGCTGATGAGAAAGATCATCAGCTGCGCCAGGAACTGCGAGGAGCAGAAAGGCGGTCACCCTCGGCCCTCCTGGGGCCACCCCGCGCCCGCAGCTCCGGGTCCGACTCACCACCGGGCCTGCGAGCGCCGCCAGCGCGGCCGCCTCTCGCCGCACGTCCGGGGACAGCGCTCCCCGCAGGCCCCCAGGGCTGCGCCACTGCGGGGCGTCGGGTGGCTCCGGAAGCGGGATGGCCGCGCTCAGACTGTCCTCGGCGGGCTCCATGGTGCAGGCTCTGATGCAGGCCGGACCTGCACGTGGAGCCGAGGGCGGAGTGACCAATGCGGGGACCCGCCCCTCGCGCCACCCCGCCCCGGGGCGCCGTGTCCAAGACCAACTGTCACCGAGTGCAGCGCGCGGGACAAGCCTCGATCTGGGTGCCTGGAAAATGTCCTCCTATTTACCCAACAGGAATGAAGCTCTGAAGGATGCTTTAGGTAGTCTCAACCAAACTCAACCAATGGAGGACTGTGGGTGTAGCTAAGTGAGGAATGATTGCCTTTAGCGGACCCCGAGTCCCGCCCCCCAACCACCAAAAGTAAAACAAAATAGACAACCGGTTTTACTCACAGTAGTTAAATTTCCTAAGTTTGTTCATTTTCTGTTCTTTGACAGTTTGCTGCATTCGTGTGTGTGTGTACTTAACCCTTTAGAGGCTGAAAGAGTTGGGCTTCGTCTCAATGCCTTTGTTAAAGCCTTTTCTTCTGGCCACCACTAGGAATTGTCACCGCTTCCCAGCTCCAGAGATCTCCCCTGCCTGTACCCCCACAGGAGATCTGAGCTCCTTCTGATGATTAATAAATGCTGTTTGCTCACAGAATAACAATCTACAACCAGTGACTTAAAATGTATTTAATAGAAGTTGCACAGTAAGAAAACAGAAGCAGGCCAGCTATAGGTTTCTCTCTTAGAAAACAGGAGGCAGAAGAAACCGGGAAGCCCCCACCAGAATGCGGTCAGTATACAGCAGTCCATGTTTGACCATGGTGGATGAACTAATATTCCACCATCATCTTCCCCATATTATCTTAGACCACAATATGGTGTTTCCCTTACTCTTTATTAGGAAAAAAAAACGTATTTGAAGTCTCAGTTCATAAAATCCATGAGTACAGTTGAAGTCTGTTAGCTAAAATGACTGGCAGCTGCCAGGCCTGTGCATTGTCTGTGAGTTCAAAGCTGCATGTGGTCCCAGGCTTACGGTAATTCACATTCCAGGGGCCCAACTCTACACTGGTGCAAAAGTGGCGTGAATTTAGTAGAGACTATTTTGAACTGGGAGCTTTCCCTGGATTCTCAATGTGTGACACCATCCTTTGGAGATATGGGACAGTGACAGTGATCTATAGCCCCCAGGTGGTCCTGCACCCCCAGAGGTGAAAAAAATCAACATCCTAGTTGGTACAGTATTTCAAACACTGGTTTTTGGGTAGGATAAGTGTATTGCATGCATTGTCCCCTCAAAACGCATGCCTCTCTCTGTGTCTGTGTGTAAGAGAGACTCTCCATCTCTCTGTGTTGTGTGTCGGTGACTCTCAGTTTCTCTGTCTCTCACTCGCTCGCTCTGTCTCTGTGTTAGAGAGAGAAAGAGACAGAGCTTACTTGGTAGAGGGCCCCGACCACACTAAGCATGTCTTTGTCGGCCACAGCAATGCCTCCAGTCCTGATGTAATATTCCAAGAGGTGGTGGATTGGATAGGTGCCAATCTCACAAACTGAGGAGCACCTGTGTGGCTTGGTCTCTGACCCTTCCACATCATTCAATTCTGACATATAGTCTCACTAAAATCCCTCCCACCAAGACTACAACTACTCCCAGGAGCAGGAGCCCTCGCCATAGGATCAACTGTTTCCTAGACGGCACATTGCTGTCCTTCGGGTGGACAGGCAAAACTTGTTGCTGGTTCGTCTGCTGGTCCAATTGAGTCTCATCTTTTTTTTCAAGATCTGTCATCATGATCTCTCCATGGCTTTCTGGACACACTGTGGGGAAAAGGGACCTTAGTGAGCAGCATGAAGGGCTTTTTATTTTCATATGTACAAATGGATTGTCATTCATGATTATCGCTGGGAGAGGGTTGATATCCAGAAGCAGTTGTTATGATAGATAGATAAATACATAAAACATTGTCAATTGTTAGGTAAGAGATCTGAGGGCTATGCACCTGCTGCTATTCCTCTAAATGACTATGAATGTCCCTTCGGTTTGTTATTGTTTGTTTCAGACAAGGCCCTGCAGAGAAAAATGTAATGAAGTCATAAATTGCCAAGCCACCCTGGTCCACACTTCTGGCTGATTTGCCACGAGTTTTGCCTGCTACAGTCTCACTGTACGGACACCCTGTCCAGAAGAGTTTTGCCTGCTACAGTCTCACTGTACGGACACTCTGTCCAGAAGAGTCTTGCCTGCTACAGTCTGACTGTACGGACACCCTGTCCAGAAGTTCCTGCCCATCATTTGTACACAGGAGGCATGATTTGTGCTCGCTCAGAAGTGTCCTTGCCCTCACCTGTGCTACGTTTCTCCTGTAGGAGTAGGCATAAGTGACTCCAGTATAATCTTTTTACTTCCTTTGCTCTGGGAGACAGTCATAGGGGACAAATAGGGACACATGTGTTTCATTTTGTAGTAAGAAATAGGATCATTCGCTATCTACAAGGGCACATTTGTACCCCACTCTATAGGAAGAAATCCATGAGTGCACACTGTAAGCAGTTTGCAAGTATGCACTGCTAATTGTTTGTTTGTTTGGAGTTAACTTTCCATCTAGATGTCATCCAAATTACTTCAAGAGAAATGCAAGTTTCAATAACCTTGGTCAGCCCTCCCCTGCTATGGAATCTCTGAGACAAGGCCAAACACCTGGCCATGGGGACAAGACTAAACCCTGAAATTATTTTTTGCCTCTTGTGACTTGAACATTACCCCACTATGCTCCCTTTCCTCCCTTTTGGAACAGTGACACATGTCCTGTGCCATTGTATGTTGGAAGTATGTGATCTGCTTTTTTTGTTTTTTTATTTGTTTCTTTTTTGAGACAGGGTTTCTCTGTATTGTTTTGGAGGCTGTCCTGGAACTTGCTCTGTGGACCAGGCTGGCCTGGAACTCACAGAGATCCGCCTGCCTCTGCCTCCTGAGTGCTGAGATTAAAGGCGTGCGCCACCAACGCCTGGCTGTGATCTGCTTTTTTATTTTAGTCTTACAGGAGATTACAGTTAAGAGATTACCATGAGTCTCAGAAGAGACTTTGGACTTTTAAACATGGTTCAGACTATTATAGACTATGTGGACTTTTGAAGTTGGACCAAATGTGTTTCTGCATTATGATACAGCTACAAGCCTATGAGGGCCAGGGAGCAGAATGTGGGAGCTTGAATGAGAATGGCCCCCAGACGCTTGTAGGGAGTGGCAGCATCAGGCCTTGTTGGAGGAAGTATGTCACTGAGGGTGGGCTTTGAGGTTTCAGAAGCTCAACCTAGGCCCAGTAGCTCACCCTTCCTCCCTCCTGCCTAAAGATCCAGATGCAGAACTGTCAATCTCTTTCCAGCACCATGTGCACTGCACTGGACCACGCTTCCTGTTATGACAATAGTGGACTAAACGTCTGAACTACAAGCCAGCCCCCAACTTGATGTTTTCCTTTATAAGGAGATAGGCAGGTCTCCCTCCGGCTTCTCAGATCTTCCAGCGTGCTGAATAGAGCACAATTTAAAGATTCAATTCCCGGTTTCTGTTTATTATGACAGATAGAAAACCAAATTCCATCCAAGTACTGCTGAGGGAGTGATTTCCAGGACACTCTTTGATCTTATCTCTGGTTGTGCTTATTGGCTTTATGCTTCATCAAAAAACAGCTCTGGAACCATCCGAAGTAGGAGTGAAAATCTTTTAGAGACACTTGTGCCTTCTGCCATCAGACTAGTACAACAATGGTTCCCAATCCAATGTCATTTCCCCAGAAGTCTCATACTAGGAGATGGCAGATGTCTGGTGCCAGCGAAAGAGGAGCTTATCTCCCACAAAGAGATTTCACAGTCCTGACAACTTCTCAGATGATCTTGTGGGAAAGACTATCAGGGAAGGGTCACCGAGGGGCAGGACTAAGTGTTGGCCAGGACTGCACACCTATGCATTCCTTGTGCCGTCTGCTTATACCTAAACCTCGTGTCAGGACCCTGAAGGGGAAGTGGGGAGGAGTCACTGCACCCTTTTATTTGTTCCTCTTCCCAGGGCAGCCACACTGAATAATAAATCCCCTCCCTCTGCCTCCCAGCATCATGTGTCTGTTCAGTTGGCCCCTTGAGGACAGGGGCTGAGCCTGGGGTAGGGTTGCCAGGGCCCAGGCTCTGACTTAACAATGCTGGTAACAGCCCTGCATTTGGTCCACTATCTCTGAGCACCTCTATTCATTCTGCAAACTAATCTGATCAGCCAGCGTGGGGAGACAGAGAGCTTTTCAAGGGCTGACACCTAACTAATAGGCATTTCAGACTGAAAATAAGACAAATGAAGGACAGATAAACTGAGACATAGTTCAGGACATCCACAGAACTAAATATGGGACTCTTCACCTCCAAGGACCCACCTAGAGCCAAGCAAAATAACAACTCACATGAAGACTCAAGTCTCACAGCCTTGTAGAATAAGAATACTAACAGAAAAACATGCTTAAAACTTTCCAAGAGAAAAATAAAGGCAGATTACCTGGCAGCCTAAGGAGATTGGCATTATCTTTCCTAAAAACATGAGGGTATGTAAGTGATTTGAGTACACCTTATCTGAAATGCTTGGGAATGGAAATATTTCATATTCCAGTGGTTTGAATTTCAGAATGTTTTAGCTTAGGGATTTTCAACCTGTGCTAAGATTGTTACAATGGCCTCAGAGTTGTGACAAATAATTTGGAACATTGTAATACAGGTTTCACCAGGCATGTAATGCCAATTTGGGAAGCAGGAAGGTCATCCTCGCCTAAATGTCAATTCAAGGCTAGCCTGAGGTACCCAGCTCCTGTCTCAAAGAAACAAAGACAAACAAAACTTTTAAAATTAGACAACATCAGGTCACATCTACAAGATTCTTAGGCTGTGTCTGCCAGTTCCGAACAACACAATCCTCACAGTAACAAGACAGGGTAAATATCATTTTCCAAATTTTACAAACCAGTCTTCCTTCTGAAGATAATTGTTAAATCATGATAAAATTAATTAAAAGAGCATCTTTAAGGTGTCAGAAAACTAATGACACAAAGAAAAGTTCCCCAAGCAAGATCAAAAGGAAGATGGAAGCCGGGGGGGGGTCAGGGCTGGCTTTGCTCTGACAGTTCTGTATGTAGGACATGTGGCTCAGGATGTGTGGGCTCCCACACCTACAGACACAGCTAAATACTGTTTTTCTCCTGTCTAACTTCGTTGTATCAGGCACAGATTGCAGGAAGGTAGAAGGAAGCCATGTTTACCTCCCTCACAGGAGTGAAAGTTTATTATTATTATCCAAGGAACTGGGGATGTGGAGGAATTACTAAACTGACAGAAAAACAGCCTAATGTAATTGCATTTGCATGATGCAAAAGTCCAAGCAAAAACCTGCTTAAAGTGAGCGATGCCCTATTAAAACAAGCATGCAAGCACCAGCTCCCATGACTTGTTCCTCCAATAGGAATGGGATACTAAGCATCAGAAATGTCTGAAGCATAAAACAGAGAAAGGGTAAGTGTGTGAGGGGATGATCCGCCAGCCCTCCTACTCTTGGCAGTACATGTGTTTCTGTGTGCATGTGGAGCAAACACTTTCAAAACACTTTTTAGAAGAGAAGAAGTGCCACGTATTAGCAGAAGGCCTAAGAAGCTTGAACTGTCCATAACAGTGAGTTAATGTGTGGAATCAAAGTGAACAAGCTTAAGTCAGTTTCTGAATCTTTAGTGCCCCACTGCAATAAGAGCTCACAGCCACTAAACCAGATGTGCCCCACAAATGCCCCTGCAGTCCGGCATAGCCAGGTCTGCCCCAGAGCTGAGAGTTGTAGCATACCTGCGTGAGCTGGTTCCTGAGATACAGCAGAATTCCCATTCAGGGTCACATTTACCTTCAAATTGGCATGTACTTGAGCCTAGAAAAGTAAGAGAAACTCAAAATTAAGTCCAGGTGTCAGCAGGTAGGCTTGTTAAACATGGCTACCTGGTTTAGGAGAAGCCAAGTCCCTGAACTGACATGTGAGATAAAGCTTTACTGGATGGCTATGGAATTCTCTTCCAAAACTGAACCGGGTTCCAAGAGTTGGAGGGGGTAGGCTAATCAGAGGGGGAGATTAACCAAGGTAGCTAAGAATTCACCCTTCTTCAGCTTCTTACTGCAGCTGCCTTTTCTACATTTTATTTCTAGACCTCACATTAACCTGCAAAGGTAAAAAGAAAGAAGCATACAGTGTATTGCACACACACACACACACACACACACACAGAGAGAGAGAGAGAGAGAGAGAGAGAGAGAGAGAGAGAGAGAGAGAGAGAGAGGAGAAAGAGTACTAGGATGAACTTGGAAAAAGTCTCTCCAGTTCCAATTCTTCTTATGAAATTGGGTTTTTAGGGCAAGAGACCTAAAATGGACTCCTGTTTTTCTATTCACTGAACAAAGGGAAATGAACAGGGCCAGGGTCATGGAGTCCCGTACCTCAAAATACTATTAAAACAAAACAAACCCAATAACAACAACAACCAAAACAAAACAAAACACAAAAGTAGTGTAAAGGAAAAAAACCCAAAATGAAAGAATGCATGCCACATCCGGCCTGGCTTGGCACCTGCGCACAGACTGGGGCAGCAATCGGACAGTTACCTGTTGACAGGCGAGTTTCCAGTTGAGCCGGGCAATAAAAGCCAGAAAACATGAGACCTGGCAGAAACTGCAGATGATGATCCCTGACCACAGACCTGCACGGGGAGATATTTGACAGATTAGCTCAAGGAGACAATGACCACACTAAGTCAGCTTCCTTGGGCAATATAGAGACCTCCATCCTGCAGAGGCCCAGCACTCCCTAAGACCACCTGTCATAATCTACAATGTCAGAGCTACAGGTCCAGGAAGCTATTTGGGTCCTTATTGCTTATGGTGATTGGATTTTAAGAAACAAGCCAGTTGTAAGGAAATACTTTCTCCAGAAAAATCATTGCTTTGTGCTCCTCAAAAGAGGAGCCTAACTTCTTAATTTACACAGGTACGTGTATGGTCTACACGTGCATGTGTGTGTGTGTGTGTGTCTTCATGTGTGTGGACACATTGGGAGGGTGCACATGCTTGTGTTTGCATAATTGTGGAGACTTGAGGCTGAAGTCAGGCATCTTCCCTGATTACTCTCCACTTATATATTTAGGCAGGGTTTCTCTCCACCCTATATATTGAGACAGAGTCTCTCTACCTTATATAATGAGGAAGGATCTCTCTCTGTCAGGCCCATATATTGGAAATCTATTCCATCCTGCCACAGTTCAGAGAGTCTGGACTTCTATTGTCTTTAAGATGTCAGCTAATGGAGCCGGGCATTGGTGGCGCATGCCTTTAATCCCAGCACTCGGGAGGCAGAGGCAGGTGGATCTACAAAGATGTCAGCTTATGGCTGCAGGATGTCCTGGCCTCTCTGGTGAATGGCTCCTATCTAAATAACAATAAACCTAGGCCCACCCTGAGGACTAAGTGATACATGATGGTATGGAGTGCCTGAAGGCAGAGTATATGCAGCTACTGTGTATCTTTAGGATTAAGGGAAGTACTTGCTATCTACCCTATAGACATGATAATGGATGTCGTCTGCTCTTGTGCCCACCTTTGGATGGTTACTTAAGATGATGCATGAATAAACTGGACACTTTCAATATTAACCGACTGTTCTCCTGATATGATCTTATGTCTCTGTCTTTTCTTTAACACCGAATAGCTAGCCTTCCCTCATCCACACTCCCCAACTCAGGAATGGATCTGGGGCTGTTCAGCTGCTTCTGATCTCAGCTGCGAAGACATCAGTCCGCAATATATGGCCCCTCAATGTGGAGGCACAGGCATCTCTCCACCTTAAATAGTAAGCAGGGTCTCTCACTGAACCCAGAGCTCACTGTTCTGGCAATCTGAATATGCAGCTTGCTCTGGGGGACTCCCTGACTTTGCTTCCCTATACTGGTATTACTCCATTTTACATCCATTCAGCTTTTTACCTGGGCTCTGGGGATTCAAGTTCCAGTGTTCATGGTTGTGTGACAGGTACTTTACCTGCTGAGCCATCTTGTCAACATCTTTGTGGCCAATAAGTGGGTTTAAATATTACATTTTTAGTTTGGATATTCTTCATAAAGGCCTTTGATTTGGAAATTAATTATTGTGTCTGGCTGTCAGCTAAATTATTAGCAAAAAAGATTATCAAACCTTTCATTAAAAACATCCCTGGAAGGAGGAGTGATATAATTATAATCTCAAAAAAATTATATATAATTTTGAAATCCCTGAAGCTTATGTATATTCTTGATGTCTAAAAAGGGAAACAAACTACTGGGAATGGAGCCCAGGGCCTCACATGTGCCTGGCACGTACTCTGCACTGAGCTGCATCATCGTTGGAAGAGACCATCTTAGAAATCAACCTCAGAAAGAAAGAAGAAAGAAAGGAAGGAAGGAAGGAAGGAAGGAAGGAAGGAAGGAAGGAAGGAAGGAAGGAAGAAATCAAATTCTATGTTCTAAAACTCTGCTTGGAAAACCCTGCTCTTACTTTACATGGATATGGAGATGATATGTAGAATAATAGAAGAGTTTAAAGTAGGACCCACCAATCTTTTGTCATTGTTTTGTTTCAGACAGGGTCTCATTATGTAGCCCTGGCTGGCCTGGTATTCACTATATAGACCAGGCTGGCCTCAAACTCACAAAGATCCTCCTCCCTCTGCCTCCCCAATGCTGGGACTAAAGATGTGTGCCACCACACCTGGCAGAAGTCACCAATCTTAAAATCCCCCCTGAGATTTCTGCTCAACCTTCAAACCTAACTCTGGACACAAACTTTGCTTCCAAGGCTGGTTACACTGTAGGAAGAACTGTAGAGCACACAGAACAAAGGTTGAGGCTGTGGGCTGGGCAAGCCCTGTGGATCCCCATGTCCTGGTGAGTCCATCTAGTAACTAGTAAACTTGTAAGGGGAGCATGAGGAACCACAGATGATGAGCAGTTTTGTCCTCAGTGAATGAGCAGCAGAACCAAAGCTCTGCCTGCCAGAAAGTGCTGAGCACACAAATGGACACTGGCCACAGCAGGAGTCTCCAATTCCGCAACCCAATGCTGCAACAACCAGCTCAGGAAAGGAGCCCCTCTGCTTCATGGCAATGCCCAGGAATCCCAACTGCTAGAACCCTCAGAGAGCCAGGTTACTACCACTAGAAAGCTAACAGTGACTTAACCAGCAACCAGCAACTGACAATCTTCCTATCTAGACCAGAGTCAAATATAAAAGCTTAACCTATCACACAAGGCCATGTCTCTTCAGCTGCGTTCAAACAGGACACACCTGAGCCACCCCCATCCCTCAGAATGGTCTCCCACTCCTCTGCTTGCCTTTCAATTCTCTGCCAAGACACAGATGGGAGGGGCCGATTCCCTGGAGTAACCGGATCCAAAAACATAGACTTTGCTATCTATCTGATCAGATCCATTGAAAGGCTAAGGCTAAAGCCCGAGTCACAGTTCAAAGAATTTACTTTACTCTGGTAAGGTTCACAGCTCTGCTCCTTGGTGCCAACTGCCCTCACATCTCATTTATCAGGAGTAACTGATTGCTCTTCATGGGAGTAAATTCAGCGACCACCTGTGTCAGGCTGGTATATTGGAAATCTATTCCAGCCTGCCACAAGTTCAAAGAGCTCAAGTCACTCCTATTGTCTTTAAGACATCAGCTAATGGTGGCAGAATGTCCTGGCCTCGGTGGTGAATGGCTCCCATCTAAATAACAATAGACCTAGGCCCAGATGAGTTCACACTCACCCTGAAGGCTAGATGATACATCCAGCTATGGAGCCCCTGATGGCAAAGCAGTGTGTGCAGCTACAGAGTATCTTCAGGATTAAGGGGAGTAATTTCTACCTGCCTTCATACATGATAATAGAAGTCTTCTGTCATTGTCCCTACCTTTGGTTGGTTACTTAAGATGGTGGATCACTAAACTGAGGTGAGCATTCAGTATTAACTGATACTGCCATCCAGATATGATCTGATGTCTCCTCTTTACTTTAACAGAGATAGCTAGCCTTCCCTCAACCACACTCCCCCACTCAGGAACAGACCCCGGGGCTGTTCAGCTGGTCCCAATCCCAGCCTGCAAACACCAGTCCAAGACATATGGCCCCTCAACGTGGGGATGACATCCGACAAATGGCGCTGAAACGTGAGGCTGAGAACGGGGGACAGAAGTGATGGACGCTGCAGAGGAATAGACACCGCAGATGTACAAATGTGAAGAGAGTGCTCGGGGGGAAAAAAGTGAAGTGTGGTGAATGAACGTTGCAAGTCAGGAGTAAAATTGTATATAATTGTAGATATAAAACAGGAAAATGATACTCAGATGTCAAAGAAGTGAAGCGTGGTTAGTTAACCTTAAAAGTGAAAATGTGTATAATTATTGATATGGAATAGAAAAATGTCAGTCAGGCGATAAAGAAGGGAAATGTGGTGAGTTAGCCTCCGGAGTGAAAAGGCATATTTTTATGGATGTAAAACAGAGAAATATTATCCAGATGATATAGTTAACCACTGCAAATAAGAATGTATATAATTAGAGATATGAGACAGAGAATTATTAGTCAGACGATTGTGTATATTTACTTGGGTATATTTTAATAGCTAGGAGAGCTGGAGTAAAGCAGAAGCAAGTACAGAAATCTTTAGAATTTGAAAAGTTTGTAGGACTCCTTCCCCCTGGGAGAAGTCACCACCGCAGCTGTCTTAGAGTTGCTCTGGGGCTTGGGGAAGCGAAGGTGCTGCCCCACATACACGCTAGGTCAGCAGGACCTTCAGCTGCCAAGAACTCAGAGTTGCTACAATGGTGGCCTTTGACTTTTCAAGTAGCTGCAGTCACAGATGACCTGCAGCGGGCCAGCCCAGGCTCAGAGAGCAAAGGCAAGATAAGGCCAAGGCCATGCCTAGAAGCTCGCAGCCTTGAAAGCAGCTACTCTGGCTGACGCCCAGCCAAGTGTATGGAAAAAATGCTAATTAATGCAGCCAATCAGAAACTGTTTAAGACCTTAAAGAAAGAAAGGTGACATAGATGAATTTGGGCTTGTTCAGATTTTGGATGCTCACATACTCAAGGGTTAGTTATAACTACTGTATTACAACAGATTTCAGTTAAAGAAGTTTCATTTCAACAAATGTCTAGGGAAAAGGATAGCTGAAAGATGTACGTTCTGTATGTATGAGATGGCCACATGCCTGTGTGAAGTGTGACTGTGAATGCATGAATCCTAACAAAAGGACCTACTAAAATTGCTTTGGATATAGTTAAAGAGGGCATCAAGTCAGCCAGGAAGGGATGTCGATCTGTGCCTCCCACAGTTGGCCCCCAGATCTAGCCGGCGGGAAATGGCCAAAGTCAGCACGGCCTGGGAGTCAAAGGAATCTATACGAATGATTCAATAGAGTTTAGCAGAAGAGAGGATACAGAAATTCTCTCATTTTTATGGTTAAAAAAGAAGTTGAGAGGATGAATGTTGATACAAGATTTGAGAAAAATTATGGAGGAAAAGCCTCAGGGAACCGCCGCCCTGTTACCATGTCAGCTAGTGAAAGCTTTACAAGTTGGATTAGAAAATACTACTTACAAACTTTAGATAATTTTCAAAAGTTGTTTGAAACATATGCTATATCCTAAAGAAATTAAACCCCAAAAATTAGAAATTAGA